TATCGAATTTCCAACACTGGCTCACGACCACCACTGAATGTCGAGCGCCGCCGTTCCACATTCATTCCAGGGTGGATTCTTACGACGCGTTAGACGGGAGACATCGCGCAAAACGTTGCTCTCGATCGCTCGTTCGGTCGGGGCGCTTCAAAGGAGACCGGTAATGAATCCGGTGCGCGATTTGGCGGCGCCCCCCGGAAACCTGGGGGGGGGGGGGGAATCCTTTCGGCACCGCTGAGAGTTCGCGCTACAATCGCACGTCTTAATTGTGTCCGGGCGCAGCGTGTTGCCTCCGTGTGGCGGTCGTGTTTCCCGCGCAGCGGAATGCCCCCGCGCGCGCTGCTGCGCGTGGCCGCCGTGATTGCTCAGACGACGCGCGAGGCCGTCTGGAACGCTCTTCAAAAAAGAAAATTGTCTCCTGGCAACTGAGCTGCCACGTCGCCTTGTGACCCACACCGCAAAAAAGGTGTTGATGGTGCACCTCCACCACCATCACCATTAGCAGCAGTAGCAGCAACTATAATCTCTATCCACTGCTGGATGAAGCCCTCGCCAAGCCGTCGCCGTATCCCACGGACCTGGAGGAAACCGATGAGCTATATACAGCTCTTCACAGATGTCCAAATCAGGATTGTGTAGCTCCTGCAGATGAGCTGATTTCATCACTCAACCCTTCATCACTCCTTTATACATTGCACATGCAATTTCAGTTGATGATAATAGGCGTGCCATTGATTGATCCAGGTAGACTGCTTTGCTGCAGGATGATCATGCATTGCAATGTTTAGCCAAACGCTTTTCTATAAACTGTAAAATACCTAGGAAGCAAATGTTGTGGAAAGCTGTTTATTTGCCGGACAGACAACGCAACTTGAAAACACAGCAGAATACCTACCCCGGTCAGTTATTGAATGAATCGATCAATCCAAGATTTGTAACGCGCCACCATGTTCAGTCAAAGGTTGAGAAGAAGCACCGATGGCACAGGGACGAATGAAACTAAACAAGAAGAGAAAATAAGTATTTTTCTTTAGTCCGGTCTATAAAAGTACCGATTTGCCACGGCTGAGCAGACTTCATGTCGAGAAGGCTGCTGCAGACCACGGGGGCCTGCAGTTGAAAATCTCCGTTCTGGAGGTCCGTGGCAGGGGAGCGTAGAGGAAGGCCTCGACGACATCAAAATGGTGAAATAAAGAGGCAGATGACAGCAAGTTGGAAGTGCTTTTGGGGCAGCTGAACTTGATAGTAAATAGTTCAACGTACCAACGCACTAAAAAAGGCAAAGGTTTTTTTTTTTAATGAGGGCACGCTCCCTTGCTTTGAAATGAGGATCAGAAACGTGGACATCGACAAAACCAAAATGGATGCAAATTAGCGTGGAGTGATGATGCACGCTTGGAGTTGCATTGCGAGGCGGAGAGAGGTAGTGCGTGGACTCGAGAACGTATATGTGGGTTAGAGAGATCGTCACTTTAACCGGGAAGATAAAGCGCACGTCCGCTTGGGTAGGACGCGTCATCACTCCAAGTGTTGACGCACAGCAGTCAAGACTAAAGACGGAGTGGCAGCCAAAGCAGGGAACGCGTCCGGGAATTAAATTGCCTCATTGTTCACACGCACTCGGTCAGTGGTGGTCAACCCAGACTATAGTCGGCAGGCCACATGAGTGGCCCTCCTTCACCTCAGTGGGCCTCAAGCTTGATGTCGTGCTCGTGCGCTAATCATGATCCCCCATGCATCAGCCTAGACACACCGAGACCGAGCCTAAACATGCCGGGATGGGCCTAGACACGCCGAAACCGGGCCTAGACACGCCAAGACCTGGCCTAGACACGCCGAAACCGGACCTAGACACGCCAAGACCTGGCCTAGACACACAGAGACCTGGCCTAGACACGCCGAGTCCGGGCCTAGACACAGAGACCTGGCCTAGACACGCCAAGACCTGGCCTAGACACGCAGAGACCTGGCCTAGACACGCAGAGACCGGGCCTAGACACGCCGAGACCTGGCCTAGACACGCCGAGTCCGGGCCTAGACACACAGAGACCTGGCCTAGACACGCCAAGACCTGGCCTAGACACGCAGAGACCTGGCCTAGACACGCAGAGACCGGGCCTAGACACGCCGAGACCTGGCCTAGACACGCCAAGACCTGGCCTAGACACACAGAGACCTGGCCTAGACACACAGAGACCTGGCCTAGACACGCCGAGACCTGGCCTAGACACGCCAAGACCTGGCCTAGACACACAGAGACCTGGCCTAGACACGCCGAGACCTGGCCTAGACACACAGAGACCTGGCCTAGACACACAGAGACCTGGCCTAGACACGCAGAGACCTGGCCTAGACACACAGACCTGGCCTAGACACGCCAAGTCTGGGCCTAGACACACCGAGACCTGGCCTAGACACGCCAAGACCTGGCCTAGACACGCAGAGACCGGGCCTAGACACGCCGAGACCTGGCCTAGACACGCCAAGACCTGGCCTAGACACGCAGAGACCTGGCCTAGACACGCCAAGACCTGGCCTAGACATGCCGAGACCTGGCCTAGACACGCCAAGACCTGGCCTAGACACACAGAGACCGAGCCTAGACACACAGAGACCTGGCCTAGACACGCCGAGTCCGGGCCTAGACACACAGAGACCTGGCCTAGACACGCCAAGACCTGGCCTAGACACGCAGAGACCGGGCCTAGACACACAGAGACCGAACCTAAACATGCCGGGATGGGCCTAGACACGCCGAAACCGGGCCTAGACACGCCGAGTCCGGGCCTAGACACGCCGAGACCTGGCCTAGACACGCCGAGACCGGGCCTAGACACACAGAGACCTGGCCTAGACACACAGAGACCTGGCCTAGACACACCGAGACCGGGCCTAGACACACAGAGACCTGGCCTAGACACGCCGAGACCTGGCCTAGACACGCCAAGACCTGGCCTAGACACACAGAGACCTGGCCTAGACACACAGAGACCTGGCCTAGACACACAGAGACCTGGCCTAGACACACAGAGACCTGGCCTACACACGCCGAGACCTGGCCTAGACACGCCAAGACCTGGCCTAGACACACAGAGACCTGGCCTAGACACACAGAGACCTGGCCTAGACACACAGAGACCTGGCCTAGACACGCCGAGACCTGGCTTAGACACGCCGAGACCGGGCCTGGACACGCCGAGACCGGGCCACTACGAGGAGGGGGGGAGGGGGGCTCCGCGGGACGCCTGCGGGGCCGCAGGTTGCCCACCGCTGACTCGGTGGATTGCGGGTGTGTGAGAGAGAGAGAGGTGTGTGAGAGAGAGGTTGTGTGTGAGAGAGGTGTGTGAGAGAGAGGTTGTGTGTGAGAGAGATGGTGACAGCCTTCAACGGTAGGAAGAGGGAGAGAAAAGGCAGAAGGATATGACTCATCACGGTGGCGCTGGGTGCAATGTGTAATTCAGCCTGGTATTGTGCGATGTGTTTTGCTAGTCTTGAATATTTTATGCTGACAGGTAAAAAAAAGTAATGTGATAACAGGTGCTTAATTATATTCAAAGCAGCGCTATCATCAGTTTAATTAACTTACTATGTAACCATTTGTGCATTTATTGTTTCAAAATAAAAAATATATTAACTTGAAGAGATTATTGCCGATACATTTTCACCGAGTTTCAGAGTACTTCAAAGGGGTCGTGCGTTTTGGGTGTTTATTCATGTCCAAGAGTAGTGAGAGTTTGGCTTCGTATGGGAGGAGGGAACCGGAGACACTCAGCACTGTTATCTCCAGGCCACTCGTAAGTAGCCCCGCGCCTACAACACCTGGCAAGCCCTGGTGGTTACTCATCCAAGTACTGAGCAGGTTCGGTTCATTTTTAGCTTTTGAGATCTGACGAGATGGAGCTCCGTCTATGGTGATTTGGACATGAGCAGAGTATATTACCACGCGTGTTAACATCTAGCTCGCTGTAAATATATTCAAATATTCAGACGAGTGCACAAGGTTCATTTCAACTTTGGCTACAACTGAAAATGTCTTTGAATAGCAGGTTAGTGCCATTTAATCTGCCATTCCCATTGTCGGGAATAATGAGCTCTATCTTGTATTCATGGGCTGCACTGCGGCGTACAATTACAAAAACTCCGATAATGAATGGGTCTTTTGTTCTTTACTTGTGTTGGGGTGCGTGTGTGTGAATATTTGTTATATCTTTGTATCGTCTCAGTCGTTCGTTAGCACCAGTCTCTGCATGACAAAGGTCAACGTGAAGTTCAACGTGAAGGTCACCGCGTTGATGTGGCCAAGTGGCTCCCGAGTCAGAGCACTGAGCAGTCTCCGGCCCGTGGGCCTGGAGAGAGATCGGTACCACGGCAAGGTGGCGGAACTTTAGCAGAGCACCGATTCATTTACACGGCCAGTGAGCGTGAATGAATTTAACACGTAAAAAAAATTCGTTAGAGATTGCGGAAATGTAAATGTGTCGTGGACCCCCCTCCACCCAACACAGTAATGGTTTTTGATTGGCAATACAGTAATGGTTTTTGATTGGCACAAAACTTGCCAATTAGTGATTACTTCAGCACACCGGTGTGTTGGAGAGTAAACTCGCACAACATTTACAATTTGTATACCCACATTTACAAACAGTAAATTTACAAATTGTAAATGTGGGTCTACTCTGAAGCAAAACACATGTCGGTGACCCGTACGGCACAACCACGAAAACCTCCAGAATATAAACTTGGTTTTGACGACCATGCGACAATCACCTCTCGAGCAGAGTGCATTGGAAAGAGATCTCCGAAGCACTTCTGTGATATCACCTTCTGCGGGCCACTCTCTGTCACGCGGGGGTGGGGGGGGGGTGGTGGCGGGATGCCCTGCTCCACGAGCAGTCCCAAGAGGACACTTCACCCGGTGGCAACGTGTTAGAAGGTGAATACAACCCCCCCCCCCCCTGAGCTGTCGTTTCTTCCTACGGAACGCCCGACACCCCTGACAGGTCCCGACGGACGAGGCGGGCGGCCGGAGGGCGACGTGAAGAACACCGGCGCCCGGTGGGGGGGGGGCCGGGGCCGGCGATGCCGAGGACCCCCCCATCTACGGGGAGGTTCGCGGGGAGCTGTCCAAGGGGGGCCCAGAGGAGGCTTGGATGAGGGGGGTGGCCGCGCCCGAGGAGTGGGACTACGAGGAGGATGCGTGGAGACAGGTGGGTGGGGGCGGAGCGGGGGGTGCTGTAGTTGTGGAAGGGGCTGCAGTGGTTATGCAGTGCGTCGAGCAACTGCCATGATTTATGGATCTTTTTCGGCGGCGCGCAATGGCTGGGTTTGCCTAGTAGGAGGTGCGACCATGTGACCTTGCAACTTTGCGACCGTGTGACCGTGGTACTGCGTGACCGTGTAAATGCGGTACCGCGCGGAGCGCGCGTGAGTGCATCCTCACGGGCGCTGTCCTTTGGTAGCGAGACATTCACCTTCCACTTTTGGGACCTTATGTTGACTCTGGGGTGCGAGCTGAGTGGACTGTGCCCCACTCTGGGCCGCTGACTCATCATTTTGCCTCTCGAGGCCGCAGTTTGGATTTCGTCGCACACGGCTTTTGTATTTTCTCTTTATTTCTTCATCGGCATCATCATTGTGAGCCGTGATATATCCACTGCTGAATGAGGGTCGTCTCCATCCCTCGGTGTCCCGCGATGTTGCCATCCATCTCCCTTCATGCTCGTGAACCGATCTCATCGCTCTATCTGGACGGCGGTCGTCTTTCCACGTACGGTTCTCTCCCTCCGCCGTGGCTCCGTTAGTCTCGACCACCACCGCCGCCGAAGAATTGTCACGATGCAGGGCTGCGATGTGGTTTCAGAATTGATTCTCTCCTTTGGTTGTCACCACTCTTGTCCATGAGCCATCATCCCCCCCATCACCATCGTGAGCCCTGCCCCATCCAACTTACTTTTCTTTCCAGTCAATATAATGTCTCTGAATTGTCCTCTGTTCTTTGACCAATGTTTCTTCTATTTCTGTCTCTCGGGGTAATAATATTTTACGAGAGCGCATATTTATCTGAAACGTCGCCAGAGTGCATTTTCTGACTATAACGTTGCACGTGACCATACCCCCCCCCCGTGTGTGTGTGTGTGCATGTGTGTTTAACAGCAGAGGTCTCACTCCGAATCAGTTGAGCGGCAATATATTTTCATCGGTTGCGTAACGCTGTGTGGAAGCTACCTGGTCTGTCGCTCCGCACTAAGCTTCAGGTCTTCTCGGCCACGGTCATTCCCTCCCTTCTCTACGCTTGCGAAACGTGGACCCCCTTAATGGAACATCTTCGCCGGTTAGAAACATTTAGGCTAGCCTGCCTACGATCCATCCTGGGTTTAACCAGGCTGGATTGTTTGAGGAGCTCACAAATCCTTGAAAGATCTGGGCAAGGTCCCATCGGTGAGCTCCTCCGGCAGGAAAGGCTGCGTTGGCTGGGTCATGTAGATCGCATGCCCAGCCACCGCATGCCGAAACAGCTTTTGTTCGGCCGGATCGAGGGGGCTAAACGGGCGCGGCACGGGCTAGAGAAGAGATGGAGTGATGTGGTACAGGAGGACGTGAAGCTGAGTGGACTTGCCGATGACTGGTACCAGCGGTGTCAAGATCGGCCTCTGTGGAGGAGGCTCGTGAAGGACGCTACTGGGCAGTTGGAGGCTGTCGCCCTCCAACAACAACGGAGGGCGGAGGAGCGACGCTCACAACAACGAGCGGAGCGCCGGGTGGCTAAAGCACAGCAGGTTGGCACAGTAGGGGGCACAGGTGGTGCAGCAGCCAGTCATCTCAGTCATCTCAGTCAGTCGACCCGTGGCACCTGGGTCTGCCCCTTGACCTCCTGCCAGCGGGCGTTCGACACATTATGTGGCCTCAAGGTGCACATGGCCTGGCACAAGCATCGTGGTGATGTCACCGCCACTTAGTGGCCAATGGCGGTTGTTGTTGATGTGTGTTTTTATTCAGTATTTAAGGTGCGGCATGTGCTCCCAGTGAGCCTTAACAGCGAAAAAAATGGTATTTAAAAACCTGCTGTTTAACTGACGGCCGTGGTGTATAATTTATTCTATGCACACCACGGTGTCACTTTTTTTTAAAATGCGTCATATGTATGCATATGTTTTCTTGCCCCCGGGGGGAAACAAGTTAGATTGAAAATTATTTTTGCGGAGAACGAGAAAGCGAGCGTATGACGCCGCGTCGCACGAAACAACCCCCTCGGAAATTGTATAAAATTACCACGAGGCTAACGACTTCGAATGTCTGAGAAGCGGCGCGCGGTTTTAACTGCACGCCCGGCCACGCAGCGCCGCGGTTGGAGCCGCCACCGCCTCGCCCTACGGCGCGCGCCCGCGAAGTGGCCGGGAATTCAAATGACACCGTAATGAGCGAGCCTCTTAATTGCTTTTCCTGCGGCCGCTTTGCAAGCTGCGGCCAGCCGCGCGTGAACCAAATCGGGGTTATCCAAATCGGTGTTCCCGGAGGATCGCGTTGCCCCTCGCATTTTGTTGGTGCCCTGAACACCCAGAGGCATTTTCAGCAGCTTCTGATTGAAGTGTTGGTGGAGAACTGGGCGGGGGCGGGAGGCTGGAGGGGGGAGGAGGCAGAGGGGGGGGGGGGGCGGGTGGGGGTGCTGACTCGTGCGAGACGCAGAAATACGAGGTGGTAGAAGTAGGATACATATTGTACTTGGAAGGGGACATGATGATGCAGGCAGTGATGAGAAGGGAACTGACACATGTAGTCGGACGGACAACGACATGAACATTTAAAGCGTGTTATTCAAAAGAATTGAAGGAACGAGAAATAAGAGAGATTGGTGCCAGAAGGATGCCGCACTGCTTGAGCATATTGGCACAAGGCAGAGGGAAGTGGAAACATGACGAAATGTGCAGTGGGCACTTACGGGGGGCTATCTGCCCCCGGAGCGTGATGACGATGATGATGATGGTGAATGGGGGACAGCCATGGCGGAGTGACCTCCCGCAAGCGTTTGTAATCGGGGTGAGAGGGATTTCACGAAGATGCGGACGCAATAGCGATCGTTGGCTAATGGCTGTGGCTGTGAAAGTGATGATGACGATGCTGCTGCTGTTGTTGTTGCTGGGCTTGGGTTGTAATGGGGCACCGTGCATGGTACGATTCGCATCCCGCAACCCGGCGATTCCATTCATTTTTGACGAATAAATGGTCGGGATTGGATTCGAGAATCAACGATTTATTTTGTTTCGTTTGAATGTGGGGTGTTGTTTTTTTAGCAATATTTCTTATGCCTTCTTAGCCTGGATCATACAGTGAGGGAAAAAAGTATTTGATCCCCTGCTGATTTTGTACGTTTGCCCACTGACAAAGAAATGATCAGTCTATAATTTTAATGGTAGGTTCATTTGAAAAGTGAGAGACAGAATTACAGCAAAAAAATCCAGAAAAACGCATGTCAAAAATGTTTTGAATTGATTTGCATTTTATTGAGGGAAATAAGTATTTGACCCCTCTGCAAAACATGACTTAGTACTTGGTGGCAAAACCCTTGTTGGCAATCGCAGAGGTCAGATGTTTCTTGTAGTTGGCCACCAGGTTTGCACACATCTCAGGAGGGATTTTGTCCCACTCCTCTTTGCAGATCTTCTCCAAGTCATTAAGGTTTTGAGTCTGACGTTTGGCAACTCGAACCTTCAACACCCTCCACAGATTTTCTATGGGATTAAGGTCTGGAGACTCACTAGGCCACTCCAGGACCTTAATGTGCTTCTTCTTGAGCCACTCCTTTGTTGCCTTGGCCGTGTGTTTTGGCTCATTGTCATGCTGGAATACCCATCCACGACCCATTTTCAATGCCCTGGCTGAGGGAAGAAGGTTCTCACCCAAGATTTGACGGTACATGGCCCCGTCCATCGTCCCTTTGATGCGGTGAAGTTGTCCTGTCCCCTTAGCAGAAAAACACCCCCAAAGCATAATGTTTCCACCTCCATGTTTGACGGTGGGGATGGTGTTCTTGGGGTCATAGGCAGCATTCCTTCTCCTCCAAACACGGCGAGTTGAGTTGATGCCAAAGAGCTCCATTTTGGTCTCATCTGACCACAACACTTTCACCCAGTTGTCCTCTGAATCATTCAGATGTTCATTGGCAAACTTCAGACGGGCATGTATATGTGCTTTCTTGAGCAGGGGGACCTTGCGGGCGCTGCAGGATTTCAGTCCTTCACGGCGTAGTGTGTTAACAATTGTTTTCTTGGTGACTATGGTCCCAGCTGCCTTGAGATCATTGACAAGATCCTCCCGTGTAGTTCTGGGCTGATTCCTCACCGTTCTCATGATCATTGCAACTCCACGAGGTGAGATCTTGCATGGAGCCCCAGGCCGAGGGAGATTGACAGTTCTTTTGTGTTTCTTCCATTTGCGAATAAACGCACCAACTGTTGTCACCTTTTGATTTAAAGCTTTCGTGACTGCAGTAATTCATATTCTTAGTTTTTTCGGTAAAGTCACGTTGAAGATAAACAACAAAATAATAAAATATATATAAAACAACGTGACTTTACCGAAAAAACTAAGAATATGTTGTCACCTTCTCACGAAGCTGCTTGGCAATGGTCTTGTAGCCCATTCCAGCCTTGTGTAGGTCTACAATCTTGTCCCTGACATCCTTGGAGAGCTCTTTGGTCTTGGCCGTGGTGGAGAGTTTGGAATCTGATTGATTGATTGCTTATGTGGACAGGTGTCTTTTATACAGGTAATCTCAGCTCGTTACCTGTATAAAAGACACCTGGGAGCCAGAAATCTTTCTGATTGAGAGGGGGTCAAATTCTTATTTCCCTCATTAAAATGCAAATCAATTTGTAACATTTTTGACATGCATTTTTCCGGATTTTCTTGTTGTTATTCTGTTTCTCACTGTTCAAATAAAGCTATACTCTTTGGTTCTATTCGGTAAAGTCACGTAGGTAAAACCTACCATTAAAATTATCGACTGATCATTTCTTTGTCAGTGGGCAAACGTACAAAAGCAGCAGGGGATCAAATACTTTTTTCCCTCACTGTAAATGACAACATGATTTGCATACATCATAAATATATTAAATTCCCCCCCCCCCCCACAGAAGTGAAAGCAGGCGATTGTATTTAAGTCGATGCATAATTACATGCCTCGCTGTAAAGCAGTGGCGGTACGCCTTTGGGTTTGGAGGCAACCAGACTTTTTGACAAAAGAATAAATTGCAGGTTTCATGTTTTTTAAGCAAACCGAGCAAGTGCCAGGAATATATTTTCGGTCACGAGCTCGCGCGTCTTTCCCAATCAGATTTTTACGTAAATCATTTCTTTTTTAAATGGCATATTGCGCCTCTGCGGAACATATGGGAAACAAATATTATCTTTTGATGGCCATATGTGTCGAATGTTCCGTTTTATGTTCGGGGACTTTTATCTTGAAGTGTTGGGAGGACGTTGGGGGGGGGGGGGATCCTTATGCCGCATTATGCGAAGTCACGTAATGAAATAAACAACGCTATTAATTACAGAATTAACGGTAACAAACGTATGCATAAATAAATCCCAAAACTAATGACGTGTAAATAATGCACAAAAACCCATCGCAGACTCAATTGGCCCTCGCCCACTGCTGGAGCGTCCGCGGCACAGGGCGGCGTCGCGTTTTTGTGTCGGAAATTCTGCCGAGAGGGCCGACCGCAACGTCAAGGAAACCCCAATTCCTTTTTGGGGGGGGGGGGGGGGGGGTGCTGCGCGTGTCTTTCTGTTTTCGGTGAAGCGCACCGAATGTAATGCTCGCCGCTGCCTGATTCCCTGTGCCCCGACCCCCGCCGCCTCCCCCTGTTCAAGTTTTCAGGCTCTCAAGTCCCCTCCCGCTCTTTCCGTCCGCCTGTTGTCCGAGGGTCTCTGGTCTTGTGAAGTGTCATCACGCGTGCCTTTATCGCGCGCCATTGTCTCTTCGGTCGCTCGCTCCACGCCCCGCAGCGTTTCACTTCTTCCCTGTCTGCTACTTCTGGAACAAACATTTCTGAAAATCGGCCCCCCCCCCACCCTATCATGAAGACCCCCCCCACCGTCTCCTCCACTGTACCACTTCCCATTTGTGTCTTGAAATGGTTGCATTTCTAAAGATTTAATCATCATCGAGGTCAGCTAAAATATCACACACATAATGTAGCCGACATTGGCCAAACATCCCAATGCTGAACCCCCCTGAAAAATAATCTTGAGGCTCCACGAGGCCTTTCTGGGTAAACAAGCATAATAACAATAATAGTCTCTATCTACTGCTATTAAACTGTTTTATTTTACCAGGTAATGTCAACTGAACTATACAGCTCTTTCAGAAGCAACCTGGCCACAATTGATCGCTCAACGAGAAGTGGCTTATGTGTAAATTTATAGCAGCCAAATACTCTAAACGTGTGATGTTGATTCTAAATGTGGATGAAAAAATGCAAGGTTCCGGAGAAAAATCCATAACCACGGACAGAGAGAAACATGCAAACTCCATTATTTACAGGCGTCAGGGTTGGGATCGAACCCACGACTTCCTGTATACCAGTCGAGGTAGTTAACATCTCACCACCGTGGTGCCCTACTGCTGGATGAAGGCCTCCCCGATCCGTGGCCATCTCTGCACAGTTTTGCGATGCGGCGATCCATCTTGGCACACCTTGCACATGGGCAGAGAAAGTGTCACGGAATCGCAAAGTCTCGTCGTCGCGTTACAGAGCGGCAACGTTGTCAAACTCACCGTTGCCCGTGTGCCGTTGAGTTTGCTGGTGCTGCTGCTGCTGCTGCAGTGGCAGATGAAGAAAAAAAAAACGCGACGTCAATTTCTTTTACAAACAATCGCAGGCGTGCTCGTGAACGGGAAATATTTGCAATGCGATTTTAAGAGGGCCCCCCCCCCCTCTCTGCAAACAGCCCCTGCCGGCACGGGCAGCCCTTTTCTTTTAGCACCGCTCCCTGGTGTATAAATGAGCTATTCTCTTTAACCTTTTGCGTTGTAAATGGAGTGCCAGCAACTCGCATTGTAACCTTTCTGCAAGGCACAACTTTTTTTTTAATGGAATAAAACATTGAAATGCCAGAGAGTAAACAGTTTAATTCCGCCGGAATTAAAAATGCTGCGCAAACGCTTTCGAGGGGATTAATTGTGCACGAGGAGGAGTGATCTGGGATTTGAGCGTGCATCTATTCCGCCTGTAAAGCTGCACCTATCGAAGTTTTAAGAGAGTGGAGTATTAGACAAGTACGCACGCACGCACTCGCTAAATTCCTTACCTTCGTTCTATGGAGTAAGCCCGCACATCGTCGGAACCTACTACATTATTTAAAATAATTATAATCTTATCGTATTTACATTACTTGTAAATTTGAATGCTGATCCTTCCCGTTGCGTGGGTGGTCGTGGTTGTGCTGCTGTGTGGCTCTCTCGACCTGTTATTTTTCGGGCGGTGCCGCTCGTTGTTGTTCGGCACCATGTCCGACGTTTCGCTCCACGTGCTCGGAACTTCTTCAGGAACTGAGGAAAATTTGATTCGGTTCCTCAAGACACTCCCGAAAGAATATGCGGTGCAACTGGAGTGGTGGCGCAGTGGTTGGCGCGCACCGTGGTACGAACCTGGTGACCCGAGTTCCATTCTAGGCCACTCGTACTGACCAGCATGGTTAAGTATGGTCAAGTAATCACCTTCACTGACAGTGTGGAGAGGCCTACATCCAACACCTCCGATTAGCACGGTTGGCTACGCACGGTGTGAAAGAAGTGCAACGTGCACACGTACATACAAAGGTGTTTTTGTTTTATTTTCTCGTGTTACACTTGGGAAATTGCTTTTTTGCTGAACTTATTGAAACCCAAGTCTCCCTTAAGAAAGAGACTCCAGCCTCTGTGGGCTCTCACCTGGTTATAAAGGTCATCGGGGTTCACCCATGTCCTCTAATTAGGCATTTAGCAATGACTCCCTCCACCCCCGCCCCCAGCAATACAATAAATTGTTTCGGTTCAGGCCCTCATTCAATTCACTTTTGCTTGTCCGACTTTCCCTGCCTTGTTTGTACCATGCCCTCATTGCGCGGCGTCTCGGTGGAGTTTCCTTCGCTCCATTAGCCCAAATGTATCGTTAGCGTTTAATTTGCACGCGATTTGCGTAAATTGTAAATAGTGGATTCTGACGCGCGCGATGTGATGCGCGCGTATTTACGGGCGTGCGAATACATTGCTGGCCCACGCATCACGCCGCTGTTGCTTGCCTGCGCCCCAAACACGGGTTTCTTTAAAGTGTCCCCGCGTCCGTGTGTCCGTGTGGTTCCCCACCTCCACCCCCCGTGCTTTTGGTAGATACACGGCGTTCCACCGGATGAGGGGGTCAATGAGGACGATGAGGGGGGCCCTGGGGAGCCTCCGGGCGTTGGTGGGGGGCCCGGTCGGGGACTGGGTGGCGCTCCGCCCCCCCAAACCTCGTGGGAGCCCCAGGTGGGTGCTGGCAATTTCGCCAAGTTAATTGTTTACGTGGCTTTTTTTTCGTGTGTGTCCCCGTCAGGGTAAAACGGTTGGGACAAATGAGGTCAACAGATGATGACCGTAGATGAGAGAAGATCGAGTGCAGAGGGGACAGAGGGAAGAACAAAGCGGGGCAGGGCAGTCCAAGCGAGAGGCACAGCGCAGATACGGCATTACAAACGAGAGACAATAAAACGAGAGGCGGGTTCGATAAGATGAACAGCTTCGATTTAAAGATTTCGTGACTGCAAGGATTCATCTTCTTTGGTTCTTTCGGTAAGGTCACGTTACCGAAAGAACCAAAGAAGAAGATGACCAGTACAAACGAGTCGGCTGCAAACAAGACGAGACAGAAGAAAGAAATGAGACTGGGCAGTGTAAATCGTGCTGATCAAACAAAGACCGTCGAGGCAGTCGGAACCAAGGAGTCCCAATGATAGCTGGAAATGAGGCAAAGTGGAATCCTTTGTCGAATCCAACCGTGACCCTGAATTTGGACGATTTGGCGATTTAGCGATTTGGCGTGGCTCGGCGGCATGCGTTGCTTTACGTCTGCCCAGCGACGGCACCGGCGCAAAGCTCGCCGTCGCTCGCGAGCGTCGGAGTTTGATAAGTAACGAAGAGCATTAGCGCATCGTGAAAGTAAGGCGTGTCACGTGTGTACGTGTTTAAGGGCACTGCGTGCGTCGATTGACTTTTCTGGAAAATCCTGCGTTCGGGGAGGAAACCGGAGTGGCCGGAGGAAACTCACAAATCCAAACTGAAAACGTTCAGTAGATCGACACGAACACGTTAGCAGCCTACTTGCCGCCGTACATTTAGTTTTGTTTGCGACGAAGAAAGAGCCATCGCCCAAAACGCGTCCCCTATTATATACGTTTATCGCGTCGAGGCGGCAGAGTGTGTCCGGTTTGTCGTCAGTCCTGCTGCACCACTGTGCCGCCGCGGGCAGAGGGGCGGACCCCGTTCGCCCGTGGTCGTGACCTCTCACCCGGCTGCCACGGGGTCTCGGGCTCACGAGCGGGCGTAGCAGCGCTCGCCCGCCCGTAAGCCCGCGACCCCGCGAAACCGCACTACGGGAATTGGCCAGCGGGCGTAGCAGCGCTCGCCGGCCAATTCCCGTAGTGCGGTTTCGCCGTGAGTGAGGCGAGAGGAGGCGGGGCCTCGGTTGGCTGTGCCCGCGGCGTGACGTCGCGCATTTAGGAAACGGAGAGAGTGCGGGTGGAGCTCGGAGCGCCGAGCCGGTGCTGCCGAGATCCTGGTTTAAAATCCGAGGTTCAACCGCCCGTAATTAAACCGCTGTCTCAAGTGGAGCGAGCGAGTGGATGGTCTCAGCCCAGTCTCCAAATACTACGTAAAAATAAAATAATTGTAAAAAAAGAAAATGGGTTTTCAATGAAGTTGGCAAAAATTCCATCCAAGAGTTAAAGATAAAATAAAAATGCTTCGATTTCCATGTCACACAAGCATTGCTTTGTAGCACGGTGTTGTGGAAAGTGCTCCCGCTCAGGATAAATAATGTAGCTTGAAGGGAAGTAGTTCTGTGATGTCACACTCCACGGGTCGCGATTCACTGCTGTGCGAGAGTTTCGAACAGATACTTTGTCTCCTGACATGACGCTGATAGTACAAGTGGAATAAAATTGGGTGAAAACAGAAACGCACATTACATGTCCGCAGGCCACACGCCCAGGAAAAGGCAACCGTGGTTTGCTTTTCTTTTTTTTCTCTCCATTTCATGGGTCGGCGGTAAAGCATCCACAAATGACTTGTAAAAAAAAAAGTTTGGCGGCGTTGGCGGCGGCGACGGCGGCACCGGAGCCAGGACTTGGGGGGACGCGGACGCTTCACCGCACGTGATTCATCGTCCAGAAACTTGGGGAAGTGCGTGGCCGTCACGGTTCAGGCGCTTGCCGAGAAATACGACCGCAGTGGCGGTCGCTCGCCGCCGTTAAATACCCAGCGAACACCTGGGGGCTTCACATGGGCGTTAACCCTCGCGCAGGTGCTGGACTGCAGTGACTGCCAACTATTAATAAATCTCGTATGGAGAGAGAGAGTGTGTTTGTATGATATAGTACCGAAAGTCGATCTACCCTTGTAAATATTGACATTTGACAGAGATAGAAGAAAATTATTACTCAATTACATGGAATGACTCGCAAACGATTAACTCCCGGAGGGGGCGAGGGGTCTCGGCTGCCATTGCTGACGTGCAAACTTCCGTGACGTGGTGGATGAAAACGGCCTTCCTCAAACTGTGAATGAATCTCAAACTGACGAGAGAGAGTGAGAGAGACCGTTGAGGTGGCCCCACGTGAACGACTTTGGAGTGGGACACGGAGATGCGCCGAGACGGAGGTGTTCCCTCTCGAGCGGAATCACAACGTGGGTGACGCCGTGACAGCAGGGTTGGCCTGGGGACGGTAGGGGTGGGGGGGCTAACGCTGTGTCGGTCGGGGGCGCCGAGCCGGCACCGGCGACAATCTTTGGTTTATATCCGAGGTGGCCGCCCCCGCGACTGCTCCGGGGTTCCCAGCGGAGCGGATTGATGGCCTCGGCATGGTCGGCGAGGACCGAACGGGGAAGGAAAATCGCTACGAAGAATCTTTTGCCTTTCGGTTTGGCTGAATCCCGCCGTGTGGATGATGAACGTGGAAGAACCGGGGCTGAGGCGGGAGAGGCAGGCCTGAAAAGAGGTGATGATGATGACGCTATGCCCGTCACATTGGGTGTTAGTGGTCCTGCCGCCGTGCGGCGGCTCTGGAGAGTTTCCTGGTTGTCGTCGCATGTTGTTCGGCTCGATGTCCGACGTTTCACTGCAGCCCCGTCAGCCAGCACGCGAAGTGAATCGTCGGACATTGTACCGGACAACACGCGGCAACGACTCCGAAACCACATCGGATGGATACCAAAAGGCGGCTCGAAGAGTGAACCAGAATTTGCAGGACTCTCGAGTGGACGTGGAGACGGCCCAGGAAAGGAATGAGTGGAGAACAAGGGTCAGCAAGGTAGACTCCACATGAAGCGGGAATTGCCCAGAAGAAGGAGAGTGCTAAAATGATTACGAAATTTTTCATAATTATCGACGAAATTAATTGAATGTTGAATAAAATATTTTCTTTTTTTCTAATCGATTAATATGGCAGACGCCAGGCAACCGGCTTCCAAGACGGCGGCGCACACGCCCAGCGTGATGTTGTGGCCATCGGCAGTGATGACGACGATAACCTCATCAATACAGCGGTCCTGCCATGCGAATGTGGAATTTGCATCCACTGCTTCAAATGCCGCCGTACCAACAACGAAGAAAGCCACCACCCAGAATTTACGATCACGGGAAAGCCTGTTTTGTTTTTTTGCAGATACGCGCCCATGCATATTTCACCGCGGCACATGCACTCCAGCAAATGTTATGCGCATGCTTCTGTACGGTCCGTGTGTGTGTGTGAAATTCCGTGCGCAAAATTCGGAGAAGGTTCCACCCTCATTACATTAAAGCCCCCTCTGTAAGCGAGGGGAAGGGCGAGTGCCTGCTGGGAAGAAGGAGAATAAATAGTTGTTGTGCCGCAGTTTGAAGCACAGAGTGAGTGTGTGGGGGGGGGGTGGTGGCGGGAGGGGGGGCGAGGGTAACGAGTGGCAAGCTCGGGGGCAGCAATGGAATGCGAAACGCAACAAACACTTTACGACATCACGATGACGTCGCAGCCACGCGTTGCACTTTACGTGCCGTTTTTTTTTTACACGAGAGGCCGTTGTGTGCAAGCGCACAGCATGGCACGACTGGCAGCGCAGAGCAGGGATGTATAATTTATGCCGAATGGATTCTCAGTGATCTCCGAGGACATGTTTGTTGCGTGGCCACGAGGGGCTAATGGGCCTGCGAGATCTTCAAAGTCGGTTTCGTCGTCGTTTTTGACTGCAGGAATGAGGCGTCGTTATGTGGCCGGGGTGTTTAATTTCCGTGTGAACGTTTCGTGAAGCGGCCCGCTAATTTTGTTCCAACAACCGAGGTTGTGCTTTTGTCTTGATGCCCACGGTTACGCCGCCTGGTCCAGGAGCTCGTCCATTTCTCAGACCGTGAAGGGTAGAGTCGAGTCGGAGTCGTTAAAAGTCAGAATATTGACTTCCTGCTGAAATCCATCATCGGGGCATTGCTTGTCTGCTGTTTACAGCCCTGAGCCAGGAGCAGAAATTCCACATTCCCATGGCAGGGGCGAGTCTAAACCAGATGGGAAACCACTTGACTTTCCCAAAAAGTGGTCGTCACTTTATCTACTTTATCTACCCCGATAGGTTGATGGGCTGAGTCAACCCCCAGCCAGGATTTGAACTCACAACAGTCTGAATTGCTCTGCCACTGAGATGCCTGGCCAGATAAATGCGGAGATTGCTTCAATAATTTATACGCTCAGAGTAATGACTCAAAACACTGGCACCGTTTTCCATGTATGTATAATAATAGGGTTTTTTCCCTTTTTTCTGGCAACAAAGCTGAAACCTTTTTACGAGGATTCATGTCTGCATTAACCACAATACTTGCAGTCAAAATGCAAACAAAAAAACACGCTTATAAAATAGGCATTGTCCTTGAAACTGATTGGTCCACACAGAGACAGCTTTCTTTTGAGCCTCGTCTGTGGTTAATCTGTGGTTAATGCAGACATGAATCCTTGTAAAAAGGTTTCAGTTTTGTTATATTTTGGTACTGGCAAAGGAGGTATAATGTATGTATGTTGAACTTCTTTCACACTGTACGTCGCCAACCATGGTGATCGGAGGTGCCGGGAAGGACAACAACATGCAGTTGTTCGAAATGTTAACCAGCATGTGATGTCAGGGTATGAGTCATGGTATACACCCTTACAGTAAAATAAATCTGCCAACGCAACAAAAACTATTTATGTCGGCAGACCAACGTACATTGTGCGGAGAATATGACACCCAAAAGACAGCAGTTCTAGCACACGATTCGTAAATAAAGATCGTGGCTTCAGAATAAACATAACCCTCGGTTCGCTAACATTTTTTTATTTTGTACAGAACATTTTAGCCCCCCCCCCCCCTTGCGTAGACTGTTGTTGTTGCCACCTTGTGCCAGACACAATGCGTTAGCGCGCGTGCAGTCGTTTTGAACGTTGGCACACACCCCACTGGGCGACCTCCAGGGTTTAAAAAAAAAAAACATTTGCCTGCGAACTCCGGCCGCCCAAAGCGCCAGGCTGTACACACAAGCGTCATGTCATACGGCAGCACCGCCAGCGAAGGAGAATGTCTCTTGTGACATTCTGTCGCGTGCGTGCGTTTACTCGAACGCAGCTCGTTGCCCAGGGTAACTTGTTTGCTGTAAGCAGAGTGCTGTTTGTTCATAGCTGGGAAAAAGTGAAAGCCAAGTAAAGATATTGCTATGTATTTGTACACTTATGAGCAATCGGGCTTAGACTGATAGTTCTGTTTGGTGCCCACGATAATCATTCATTGAATTTGTGTGCCAACCGTGCTACTTGGTGCCACTTGACCGAGCTGACATGTTGGCTGTGCCGTGCCTCCCTTCCTACCACCACCCCCTTCCCTTGCGTGGGTGCAGTTCAAAGGTCGTGCCAACCTGCACGTTTTCGAAGATTGGTGTGGCTCGTCCGTGGGACAGCTTAGGAAGAACATCCACTTCCCCATTTTCCCGCACGTAAGTCGGTGTGTGGGGCGGCTGGCCGGTGTCACCAGCACCAGGCACAACAGGCAGGGGGAACATGGGAAACTCAAACAGAATTATCGCTGCGGTGCCACTGCTGTTAGATAGCGGGGTGTTTGACATGGTGTGGATGACACACGGATTGTGTTTCCGCATCAGCCAATCGAACAGATACTGCACATTCTGCATTTATTGAATAAATAAATAAGCCGTGCTCTGATTATTTTCTTATATATTTATAGTCAATCGTTCAAAGTCCATCTCGAGATTGCCAGACAATTCGTAAAGCACGCAGTTTTAAGCACGGAGGCGCAGCAAACCACAGACAACCAGGAAAGCGGAGAGAACCGATGCTATCAACAGTTACCCAAGCTCTCTGTGGTTCTATATTGGGACCTTAGTTCAACTCCATTCATGAAAGCATGTGGGAGGAAACTGGAGTACCTAGAATAAAGCCACATCTACGAGGATGGTAACGCTCAACCTCCGTAAAAAATGAAAATTAATCTACTTGCTGTACTGCCATCATAACTTGACAAGCGAGGAGATGGCGACCTCTACCCCTTCTTTCACACCATACATAGCCACACGTGGTAATCGTAGGTGGAGAGAAAAACCGGAGGACCCCGAGAAAAATCCACGCGACCACGGGGAGAGAGACACACACAAACTCCAAATACACAGCAGGCGTCAGGGTTGGGATCGAACCGACGACCTCCTTCATACCAGGCGAGGGAGTCAACATCTCGCCCACGGGTTCGGAAGTAGTTTCACAAATCCTGTGACCCAGTGATCCTCGCCTCCACGTGCTGGGTTTAGAGGCCTCCTGCTCCACGAATAATGATGTGCACCTCGCGCCCCTCCCCCCCCCCCCCCCCGCATCATCCACGTACTGCCGACCCTCGTCATTCAACGAGTTACTGGAAAAAATGTGTATCGAGATGCAATTCAAGAATCATTTGGTTCACGTTGTGTTTAAAACGATTCAAGATGAATTTCAATAGATTCAGAAATCAATGGAAATCAAGAAAAAACGTGGGTTTTACTTGGTGCTGAATTTAGCGCCTCTAGTGCCTGCGGGGGGTCACTTGACAAAATATTACATAAGATACACATACGAACAGAAAATCATCCATTCTTGCTTGATGAGTGCATGGTATAACTTGTAAATCTATTTTTAATGGACAAATCTGTTACCACATGACCACCGCTCATTGCGTTGCTCGCAAGCGAGGTGGTGAGACTGGTAAACCTGGAGAGCTGGTTTGCATAATAACCTTTAAATACGAGATACAAGCATCGCGTCTGCTGGGTTTTTTGACATTCCTCATAGACACCGGTGTAGCTGTCAACCGCATCAGAACATGGGGTCAGCAGGCTGATGCGCAATTGTGGCCACGCAACGCAAACTCTAGACCACGGAGTAAACCCACGGTCGTCTGCGCTCCTTCAATGAAGGAGGAATAGCAAAACTACACCGACTCTCTCCTGAAGCCCTCTCGTGGCAAGCAGACCTTGACATTGGAATTCAGCTCCTGAACATCTTGCCATCACAGGCAAGGATAAAATTGCTCACACTACCTCACCCAGCCAGTTGTGTCTACAGACAATTTTAGCTCCGTTGCCTCCGGCCAATTCTGTGGGATACCGGCAATTAAACTACGCGTAGAGCATAAGTCACGTTGATTTATACGACGTATACTGCCTTGTGGCAATTTCATCCGAGGAAGTCTTGTCAGCCCATCATATAGGGCGTAGCGTTTAAAAGTGATGGCTTTTTAAGTTGTCGCCATTCCGGCTCATTACCCCGTGCCGCCACGGTAAATGTGGAGCTCAGCGAGCTTTTGCCCGCTCGGGATGGACTGATGCGTCGGTTCATCGATCAGTATCGATTATCGAGCTAGTAATGCACGCCTGGGGATCACGCGCGTATGCAGTCCGTTGTCGTAGATCCATGTGTACGTTTCGCAATCGCGCGTATGCATTACCTCCACCCCTTGGTGAGGAATACATGCGTGGGTCAGAGAGCGCACGCAAGATATCGACAGCATATTGACGGTTTAGGGAAAAGTAAGTGGTCTTGGGCGGGGCGCGTCGATGGAAAGGGGGGGAGCGATGGCCGGTGGTTGAGACTGACGGGAGGAGGGGGGGCACGCAACCGAGAGGACGTCCCAAGCGGAGGGTGGTGCGGTGATTAATATTGTCTGGAGCGTGCGGGGGAGCCGAGATGAATCATTGCGTCATCAGACAATGAGAGATGGCGATTGCTTTGGTGGGGGTGGCGGGGACTCATCTAGCAGTAGATAGATGATAGCCGACGAAGTAAAGGCCTACACATCCACAGAGCTTCAATGAACGCTGTTAAGATTCGTAGCACAGAAATAGATGTAGGCTTTGACTTTAACATCTATTTCTGTGACCAGTCACAAGCTAATCCCTTAGCTATTTCAATGCTAAATTACTAGTTGCCTCTGTGGATGTGTAGGTTTTGACTTTAACATAGCCATTTCCGTGACCAGTAAGAAGCTAATCCCTCAGTTATTTGATATGCAAACCCCCTTTTGTCAAGGGCCTCACTTCTCCCAACCAGCTTAAAGTCGCTACGAATCTTAACAGCGTTCATTGAAGCTCTGTGGATGTGTAGGCCTTTACTTTAACATCTATTTTTGTGACCAGTCACAAGCTAATCCCTTAGCTATTACAATGCTAAATTACTAGTTGCCTCTGTGGATGTGTAGGTTTTGACTTTAACATAGCCATTTCTGTCACCAGTCACAAGCTAATCCCTCAGCTATTTGATATGTAAACCCCTTTGTCAAGGTGCCTCACTTCTCCCAACCAGCTTAAAAGTCGCTACGAATCTTAACATCGTTCATTGAAGCTCTGTCGTCCTGACAGGTCTGTTCCTTTCACCTGAAGACGGCCGCTTGCGTTGTGGCCGAAACGTCGTGAGAATTTTATTGTGTTATTTTATTCTCATTCTACGTGACTTTACTGAAAGAACCAAAGAAGATGAATCCTTGCAGTCACGAAAGCTTTAAATCGAAAGATGGTGATGATGTTTTTGATTGTAACCAGTCGGCATGACCCCCACCCCGACACCCACAGGCGGTGCTTTCACTTCCCACAGTGGAACAACAATGAATTAAAAACATAATTTCTTGCGTTTTATCGGGAGTCGTGACAATTAATCAAATTGGCAGCGGGGTGAATAGTTCACTCCCAAGTGTCGGATGACATTAATTGCTTACAAACCTCTCAAACTGCTTCAACTTAATTCAGCAATGGGTTCTTTAATGGGTTGCTCTTTTATGGCCATGTCTCTATCTTTAGACACTTAATATTCTCCTTTTCCCCCAGTTCATTATACCAAATGTATCAGGGAGGACACAAAAAAATTCTCCCCTCTTTTATATTTATTGCAGCCGGTCTTTTTTTCACGTTTTTGCTTTATTTTTCTGCATGTTATCTTTTTTGTGTTTTTTGTCGTTTTGTGGCGGGGGGGGGGGTTATGAAACGTAATGTTCCACTTACCTAGCAGTCTTATTACCTAGTCATCTTACCTAGCTATCACACCTAGCAGTCACTGCTCAGCAGTTTTTGACACTTCAGTGCAAATATAGCAGATTTGAAAACTATGAGTGTAGAATATTTATTTATTTTTTGCAAAGTGATAATTTAAAGGGAAAAAAAGTTAACTTTTCGGTTGACATGCCATCATTCCTTCTAATATCCACCACGGACACTGTGAGCATCCAGAGGAATGGGTAATGCGATTACGGAGCACTAGGCCTTTATTGATTCCTCATCGTATAAGCTAGACACACAACGATTTCCCACACTGGTGATTCGATACATTGTCATGCTTGGGGGGGGGGAGGGGGCATTCCATTCATCGTTCAATTCTTTTTAAATTTCGATTTGGCCATCTCATTTTTATCATTTCCTGGTTTGTCCTCTCCCGTTTGTAATGTTTTCTTCTCCCCGTTAGCCCAAGTCGCACACGTCGGCGTATCCCTCGCAATGAATTCGCTCATATCCGAAAACAACCGGGTCTAAACGCGCACTATTCGACGCACATATTTACCACGCGGTAATCCATCAACACGATCGATCTGCGCGTCGTTAGCATACCCCGGCAAAGGGCCCCCCACCAGCCGTTTTGAGTGACGGTTTGCCAAAAAGAACACAGCCGGTGCCTCTGCCACACAGATCAAAAAATCCGATTGGCCGCCGCTCGTTCGCCGGCTTCCCCCTTCCATCGCCGGCTCCCCCCGACCACTCGGCGCACTCAAATGAATGGCCGACCATGCTGGACACCTGCTTAGCTGCTCTGTTACCGCTTCACAAAAAAAATACTCTCATTCGAATTACTTCTCAGTCCGACCGATGCGCTCCCATTAGCCCCGTAGCGATAGCTGGATCCACCACCTCTATAAATCCGTCGGTAGAATAAGCGGAATTTTTTTGCGATTATTTGTAATAATGTAACCTTGAATACTAACGGTTCCATATACCCCCTCCGCTGTGGAAGGCGCGGTCGGGAATATCTGCGGTGCCGGTGCCGTGAGTCCATCTCGCTGTTTCAAGGACCCGCGCAGTAGACCTGGGCACAAATCCAGGTTTCAGCCGCCCGCGATCGAAACTGGGCTCTCGGGCGTGGGCGAGGGAGTCGTCTCAGCCCGGTCACCGATGTCCTGCACAAAAATAACGCATAAACATTAATTAGCGTTCCGAACATTCGGCTAAATTCTAGCTCTTAAGAATTAAAAATAAATATTGCTTTGACTGTCCGTGCATTGAAAATTACCCTCAGTGGAAGAGTGGGTGGGAGAGTGCTTTGCCCCTACTCTGTGGACTAGAGGCCACTTAAAGGGTTCTCTTACCACCAAGGGCTGCAACTGCTTTGTGAGAGATCCTCGTGGACGCTTCATCTCATGACGAGAGGGCAAATGGCACTTTTTGGGATAAAATATGGAAAAATACAATCAATTTTATTTATTGAAGGAAATTACACGGTATTCGCATCTGGCTCGGCCATACTGGGCCCTTCCTTCCTTTCCCAGCCACCTAGGCCACAGAGCGGCGGTGGCGGGCACACAATTATTTCAGCCGCCGAAATTGAAACAAATCTCCACTCTGTTTCGGCACTTCCCCTCTCGCAAGCGGCGCTTAAGGAATGGCGAGAGGCCACATCAATTTAAACGCGCCTTCCCTCCGCCCCCCCCCGGCTCGTGAACAAATGTAATTTCCTGTCGTACAAATTGCCGAGAAATATCGCCCCGCCCGGCCCCCCACCCCCACACCCCACAACGCGCTTGCGGGGATGCGTCGTGCGCTATTTCCTCCACGCGCGAAACCGAGCGGGCCCCATAAAACACCCGCGCGCGGGTCAGCCGCTTACCAGCACCGCGCACACACCTAGCCGGGCAGAAAATTGTGGCCCAATTAGCAGCTGGGGATGCGCGCCGTCCTATTATCGTTTTTACGTTGCGCCAGCGTGGAACGCGGCGCGGAGGTAGATGTTCCGTGTCGTGCCGGTTAACGGCCGCGGCTGGAAATTGCACCGGTCGGCGCGTCACGGCTCGTGCCAATGTTCTCGCTAAATTACAAGAGGCGTTAATAACAACAGAGGAGCAGCTTACCCGTACAAAATTGGCAATGCAGGTTCGTTGTTGAATGGTTGGGGTCTGTTCATTAAAATGTAAATGTGATATATTTTTTTTGAATGTATTTACAAGTTCGACTTGGGCATACTCGTACATGTCACAGTCATTTTGCAATCAGCAGCTCTTGCGTTAAATAAAAGTGTTCATGTTTATTTTTTCCAGCGTGACCTGTGCCCACCCAGTCAATCCATTCAATCGTGGGCCAATAAAATAAAAATTACTTGGCGGTAAATGAGCAGCGATCGTGCATTTTTTAGACCATTGCACACTCAGGTTAAAGACGTCATTCAAACTTAAGACAAGTAAGCGGGCTTGACAGGACACGTCATGACAAGAAGGGGCGACGACCGATGAACAAGACTAATTACAGAGTGGCCACATAAATCTTTTACATCATTCGAGTGCTCTCTGTGCATCAGCTGGCCAACTTTGTCTCCTCGGTGCTTACATTTACACGCACATACGAACACTGCACCAAGCTCTCATTTTAATGACGAGTCGATTTGTCAGCACACGGATTGATCATGAACGCCGAATTAAATTAAATGAGATTATACTCTTTTTGCGGTGTACAAGCTGTGTGTTTTGTCGTGCTGTGCTTTTGCAGAGTCGAACGTTTGTTAGCAAGCTCGCTCTGACACCAAAGTGGAAGAACTACGGCCTCAGAATATTTGGCTACCTGCACCCGTCCACCGAGGGTACGTGTTTCCCCCCCCCCCCCCCCCCCCCCCAGTGCCTCCCCGTGGTGTGCCGTCCCGCTGCCAAGATCGCGTGCATTTGCTGTTTCGGTAAAGATTTTTTTCCAAATGCACTGGCCGAGAGTCGTGCACGTTAATCTAACGAGAAGTACGGGAGACAGCTCCCCGTCATCTCCCGTTCCTAGCTCCTCGTCATCTCCCGTTCGTGGCCTCGCACCGTCTGTACCCATAAATGCACCAGCGTCAGTGTGGTCCAGTGGGTGTGCACGTGAACCACCACCACTGTCACTCATTGGTTTTTTCGGTAAAGTCACGTATGTAGGAATAGCATAAAATTATATTAAAACAAATCAATCACGACGTTTCGACCGCAACACAAGCGATCTTCATCAGGTGTAAAAAACAAATCACGGAGGTAAATACAACAAGAAGATGAGATACGAGAATTCAACAAACCCAAGAAGAAAAAATGTGATGCACAACCGGTCAGGTCAACAACACAGTTAGGCACTTAGCTGGCGGACCACGAATCTCAGAAGAGTGTTAAATTTCGTGTTCAACCTCTCGATTGAACTTTCCAGCATAGACAGAGTGAACAAATACAAGGTACAAGTCAAAAATACATATACAGAGACACCAAGAGGCAAGGACGGATAGAGAAGAGAGGAAAAAGCAGTTGGATGAACAGAAGCCTTAAATAAGAAGTGAAGGTGGGGGGAGGGGCCAGAGAGAAAGGGCTTCTGTTCATCCAACTCCTTTTTCCTCTCTTCTCTGTCTGTCCTTGCCTCTTGGTGTCTCTGTATATGTATTTCTGACTTGTACCTCGTATTTGTTCACTCTGTCTATGATGGTAAGTTCAATCGAGAGGTTGAACACGAAATTTAACACTCTTCTGAAATTCGTGGTCTGCCAGGTAAGTGCCTAACTGTGTTGTTGACCTGACCGGTTGTGCATCACATTTTTTCTTCTTGGGTTTGTTGAATTCTCGTATCTCATCTTCTTGTTGTATTTACCTCCGTGATTTGTTTTTTTACACCTGATGAAGATCGCTTGTGTTGCGGTCGAAACGTCGTGATTGATTTGTTTTAATATAATTTTATGCTATTCCTACATACGTGACTTTACCGAAAAAAACAATGGGTAATTTATGCAGTCACAAAAGCTTTAATTATTTATCACCACCACTGTCGTCATCACGACCGTCGTCATCATGACCATCATAATCATCACGGTCATCCTCATGACCGTTATCATCATCACGGTAGGCCACAATCAACCTCGCTGCTGGGTGAAAGCGTCTCAAAGCTATCGTCGTTCCTCACGCTCCAAACGATGCAATAATCCGCCCCGCGCCTGCACACGAGACGATTTAATCGCTGCGTCTTATCGGAGGACGTCCTCACGGACGCTTTCCATCCCTTGGCTGGCGCTCCATCATAATGCTTGTCCATTGATCGTCATCTCTGGTGACGTGTCCTGCCCAAACCCACTTAACTTTTCTTACCAGTTAAAAAAATGTTGCGTTTGACCTGCGCGTGTTCTCTCATCTGCACCTTCCTCTGTCTGTCTCGCTTTGTAAATTCGGGCAAGCATCTGTGCACCTTTCGTTTTTAATTCTTTGTTTCAATTCCCTTGTTAACTTCCCTGTTGGTGATTCATATACCGCAGTGGTTATTGCGCACTGATTAAAAACCTTCCGCATACTTACGCGGCTGTGTAATATTTAACTTGTACACAGAGGTCATTCGTATTATTGCCACCGCGATGAAGCATGGGAAATCCCTTAGGCCATTTTCAGAGTCCATAATCCCCCCTGTTCTCGACATCTTGTCAGTGGTTTGGCCTTTTCTGTGTTAAATGTTTGCATTAAAACCGACGGGGGGAGGCTCTTGCCTCGTAACGTGAACTATTGTCCTCGCCTCCATATGTCTCAACAAGTTATAATATTTATAAACCACATGAGATGACGAGGGTCTGTGTCGCCCTATGAAAATGAAAAACGTTGTGGTCAGTCCGTTTGCACGCTGCCTTTTTGCCCAGGTAGGCAAACTCTGGACCCGTCTCCACTTTCTAGCGTCATTCGTCAAGTGATGAGGCACAAGTCTCAACCGGTCTGCACTTTGCCTGCCTAAGCAACTGCTGTCGAATAACATTGGTCCTGGAGACCCCCCCCCCCCCCATCGACCAATGAAGCCGTGCGATATTTTCTGTTTTATAATTTTCACACGATGAACCCCGCCCCCCCACAGCCTCTTTATCCGTCGTCTTTTTTTTTTAATTCTCCACAACGCACCGCGGCAGTGGCGGCGCGCACGCTTAGCGTCGGATGTTCATCGAGCAGCTCGTCGCACTGGCCCTTGTAGAGCGCGAGGGCTCGGAGGCTGGAAAACGATCTCGCCTTGTGCCACCCCCCACCCCCTCCCCACAAATTGTGCCGTTGCGTTTACACGTTCCCGGCATGGCCTAGGGAAGCAGGTCGTGGGTTCGATCCCAACCCTTGACTCCTGTGTATTTGGAGTTTGCGTGTCTCTCTCTCTCCCTCCCCATAGTTGCGTGGATTTCGCTCTTCTGAAAAAAAGCTATATAGCTCAGTGGGCCTTACCTGGTAAAATAAAAATAGTTTTAGTTCATAGTTTAGCATGGCGCTTGCATTTGCTGTCATGTCGGAAAAGGCAGTGCAGTCGGGGGGAGGTGGGGCAACAGAAAAAACAAAGAATAAACATCATGCGCACGCATGGATTCTGTGACGCTCTCCAACGCGCGCCTATGCTCGTAATTCTTTAACGGTGATGGTAACGCCGCGTTTGAAGGTGCACAACGAGGCATCGTCTCCCGGCGACGCGTGAAGTGCGACACGGCCCCGTCGTGCGGTTTCACACCGTGGCGTCTGATGATGGCATCACCCCCTTGGCCGCCGAAGGATAACCCTTTTTTAGCACCAAATTTTGGACGCCGTTTTTTTCTTGGGTTAAGTCCCCCATAGCAATGCGGCCTCCAGGAGACAAACGGACAAGGGCGAACGCATTCACACGTTCACGCATTCAACCCCGGTTTGAAAGTTTGTGAACGAGTTTTGGCGAAGAACTGGTTAACATCTCGGGCGTTGCACGTGCGCAGACACGGTGGCGGGATCATATAGTGGCGCACACGCGCGTACATACGCGCACGCTCGCGCTAACACATAGTGTTGTAATCTAAGGAGGCACTGCAGTTGATTTTTAAATGGGTGTTTGAGTTTCATGCATTTTTCATGTAGAGATACATTTCACCGCACGCTTAGCGGCATTTTAATGACTATGCCTCTGGTTTATTTGTTTCGGCTGCTGTTGGAGGGAAGAAGAAAAATCTGATAATGGCCGCGTTACATCTCTCTTTCCCATTCATTATCGTTATCAACGTCAAATCGCCCCGAGGGAAGGTGCGGGATTTTTAGCAGTCAACAGGGTGTTTACGAAGTTGCTCCCGTGTAAATAGAATTTCCGCGAGGATGCCAATGTGGCTGCGACCGCTCGTTGGGGTGTGGTTGAGTATGAACGCTTTACCGAGGCTCTCAGAGCTCCCTCGCTCGCATCTCCCGATTTGTGTTTTGGCGACGCTGCTCGGCAAATGACGATGCGCGCGCTGGTGCGCATGCATCACGCGGGCAAACCTATTGCGTTGCCAGCAGCTCAGCGTGCGCGGAGGCTGCGCTCAGAAGCCATTCCCCCGTGGTGAGGAGTCAGCTGCGGGTATTCCACCCTGTAACATCGAAGTGTGTGCCCGGACTCTCCTCTGGAGGTCAACTGGTGCTGACTTTGGACACGTGTGTGTGTGTGTGTGTCTCTGCGCGTGTGTTGTGTTCGTGTGCTAGCTGTGTGTTTGCATGCGTGTCCGTGTAGTAATTGCGTGTGTTTTCTGTTTGCGTCTGTGTATTTTTGCGTGCGTATATGCATGTGTGTTTGTTCACGTTTGCATGTGTGTGTTTGTATGTCTGCATGTGTTTGTTTTTGTACGTGCGTTTTTTACGTGTGTTTGTCTGCGTGTGTTTGTGTGCGTGTATATATGTGTTCGTGCGTGCATCCGGGCTGTGTGTTTGCATGTGTGCGCGTGTGCAGGTGAGTTTATTTTCACGATCGCATCCGACGACAACTCCGAGTTTTGGCTCAGCCCCGATGAAAAGCCTGCCAACTTGGCGCTGATGGCGTACGTGGGCAAGGTGCGCTATTTCCAGCTCTTCTCCGCGTTTTTTTTACTTTGTTTACAACACGATGCCGCATCTGCCACCCCACTGCGTCTTCGCGCACAGTCCAAACACGTGTTTTAAACGTGCAACTGTGGCCCGCTCCACGTATTTTTGTGGGCCGAGCGAGTGGACATCGGGAGCCGTGGCGCGGTGCTTAACGCACTGCGACGGGTAACCCGGCCCACCCGAGTTGGTGGCATGGTGAGTTTGCAGGTGGATGAGTGGGCGAGGGCATGAGTGGGCAAGTGAGTAGTGGGTGCTTGGTTGTAATGATGGATCGGTTTGCGAGTTGGTAGGTGGCTGATGAGTGGGTGTGTGGGTCTGATGGTGGGTTGGTTGATGAGTGGGTTGGTGAGTGAATAAGTGGGTGGTTATAGTGATGCGGTGGGTGGTGAGCAGGCAGGTGAGTGATGGGTGGGTGTATGAGTGTAATGATGGGTTGGTTGATGAGTGGGATGGCGAGTGATTGGGTAGATGAGTGACTGCGGTCCCTATTCTCATCTGGCCATGCAGAACCGAGTGCAGGTGCCGCCCGTAGCCGGCACGCTCTTCTCCTCTCGGTCCACTCCGTTCAAACCTCTTCACACGCTCACCACACAAGGCCCACTGAGTTATAGTGAGGGAAAAAAGTATTTGATCCCCTGCTGATTTTGTTCGTTTGCCCACTGACAAAGTAATGATCAGTCTATAATTTTAATGGTAGGTTTATTTGAACAGTGAGAGACAGAATAACAACAAAAAAATCCAGAAAAACGCATGTCAAAAATGTTATAAATTGATTTGCATTTTAATGAGGGAAATAAGTATTTGATCCTCTCTCAATCAGAAAGATTTCTGGCTGACAGGTGTCTTTTATACAGGTAACGAGCTGAGATTAGGAGCACACTCTTAAAGGGAGTGCTCCTAATCTCAGCTTGTATACCAGTATAAAAGACACCTGCCCACATAAGCAATCAATCAGATTCCAAACTCTCCACCATGACCAAGACCAAAGAGTTCTCCACGGATGTCAGGGACAAGATTGTAGACCTACACAAGGCTGGAATGGGCTACAAGACCATTGCCAAGCAGCTTGGTGAGAAGGTGACAACAAATTTTGATTTAAAGCTTTCGTGACTGCAGTAATTCATATTCTTAGTTTTTTCGGTAAAGTCACGTTGAAGGCAAACAACAAAATAATAAAATATATATAAAACAATAAAAAATTCTCACGACGTTTCGACCATAACTCAAACGGTCGTCTTCAGGTGTGTTGGTTTGCATAAATTTATTTTCCTGTACCTGACACCATTGCAATCATTGAAGACTTGGTTCATCAAGGACTAAACACTGAGGTACCCCCCCTGGTGAGACACTGTTTAACCAATACATACTTCACTTGGAATGGAACTTTCTACAAACAAACTGAGGGCAACCCAATGGGCTCCCCCCTTTCTCCAGTTATAGCGAACATTTTCATGGAGAAATTTGAGACTGACGCCATCCAGACTGCCACTCTGCGCCCAACCTTATGGAAGAGGTACGTGGATGACACTTTTGTCATCTGGCCACATGGCCGGCCTGCTCTAGACCAATTCTTCGACCACATCAATTCCATACACCCAGCCATCAGATTTACCATGGAAGTTGAAATAGATGGCAAGATATCTTTTTTGGATGTCCTAATAAAAGAGACCTGATGGTTCAATGAGCCACTCTGTCTACAGGAAAGCTACCCATACGGATGCTTATCTGAAACCGGATTCCCACCACCATCCATCACAGAAGAATTTTCTCATCAAGACTCTGTATCATAGAGCCCAATGCATATCCGACCAGGAACACATAAGCAGTGAACTCAAGCACGTACACCAAGCTCTTAGGGCTAATGGTTACTCCGACTATACAATCCGCAAAGCTATCACTCAAACCATGAAGAAGAACCCTCTGGAGGAGCCTTTCAAAACCATCACTTTACCCTACATTGCGGGGATCACAAAAAAGATCTCCAAAATCTTGAATAAACACAAGATCCAGGTCCGTTTCAACACATTACATAAAATCCGTGATCTGGTTCCGTCTGTAAAAGATGTGATTCCGGACATACAATACCCTGGTGTCTACAAACTAAGTTGCCTCTGTGGTAGTAGTTACATTGGAGAAACCAAACGCCATGTCTCGGACCGCATTCGTGAACACAAAGCAGACCTTAAACACGGTAGGACCAACACCTCGGCCGTGGCAGATCATTGTTCTAATTCAGTAGGCTCACATGCCATTGACTTTTCCAAGACAGAGGTTCTTTGTAAGCCATCTGGCTTCCATGAGAGATTCGTTCATGAGGCTATCCACATATACAAGCACAGAGACAATTTCAACCGAGAAGATGGATTCTATCTTAGCAATCATTGGAAAGATTTGATAAACCATTTCAGGTCTTAATTGATTGTTCACGCTTACAGTGGCTTTCAGACAGCATACATTATAAAAAAAATTGTCTCCCCCCTCCTTTTTTCAAAATATAGATGGACTAGTCCTAAATAAACTGCCAAATCGTTGCACGTGGCGCTAACGTTTGTATAAATAAATAAATGCGCCGTTTAAAAATACATTTATGCAAACCAACACACCTGAAGACGACCGTTTGAGTTATGGTCGAAACGTCGTGAGAATGTTTTATTGTTTTATATATATTTTATTATTTTTTTGTTTCCCTTCAACGTGACTTTACCGAAACAAACTAAGAATAAGGTGACAACAGTTGGTGCGATTATTCGCAAATGGAAGAAACACAAAAGAACTGTCAATCTCCCTTGGCCTGGGGCTCTATGCAAGATCTCACCTCGTGGAGTTGCAATGATCATGAGAACGGTGAGGAATCAGCCCAGAACTACACGGGAGGATCTTGTCAATTATCTCAAGGCAGCTGGGACCATAGTCACCTTGAAAACAATTGGTAACACACTACGCCATGAAGGACTGAAATCCTGCAGCGCCCGCAAGGTCCCCCTGCTCAAGAAAGCACATATACATGCCCGTCTGAAGTTTGCCAATGAACATCTGAATGATTCAGAGGACAACTGGGTGAAAGTGTTGTGGTCAGATGAGACCAAAATGGAGCTCTTTGGCATCAACTCAACTCACCGTGTTTGGAGGAGGAGGAATGCTGCCTATCACCCCAAGAACACCATCCCCACCGTCAAACATGGAGGTGGAAACATTATGCTTTGGGGGTGTTTTTCTGCTAAGGGGACAGTACAACTTCACCGCATCAAAGGGACGATGGACGGGGCCATGTACCATCAAATCTTGGGTGAGAACCTTCTTCCCTCAGCCAGGGCATTGAAAATGGGTCGTGGATGGGTATTCCAGCATGACAATGAGCCAAAACACACGGCCAAGGCAACAAAGAAGTGGCTCAAGAAGAAGCATATTAAGGTCCTGGAGTGGCCTAGCCAGTCTCCAGACCTTAATCCCATAGAAAATCTGTGGAGGGAGCTGAAGGTTCCAGTTGCCAAACGTCAGCCTCGAAACCTTAATGACTTGGAGAAGAAACGTCTGACCTCTGTGATTGCCAACAAGGGTTTTGCCACCAAGTACTGAGTCATGTTTTGCAGAGGGGTCAAATACTTATTTCCCTCATTAAAATGAAAATCAATTTATAACATTTTTGACATGTGTTTTTCTGGATTTTGTTGTTGTTATTCTGTCTCTCACTGTTCAAATAAACCTACCATTAAAATTATAGACTGATAATTTCTTTGTCAGTGGGCAAACGTACAAAATTAGCAGGGGATCAAATACTTTTTCCCTCACTGTATATCTTTTTTTCCGAAGCGACTTGACCACAAATGGTCGCTCAACGAGAAGTGGCTTATCATGTGGATATTTAAAGCAGCCAAATACTCTGCATGTCTATTCTAAATGTGGAGGAAAAAGGCGGAGAAAAAGCCACGCGACCACGGGGAGGGAGAGACGCACATTCCAGATGTACAGGCGTCATGGTCGGGATTGAACCCACGCCCTCCGGCATATCGGGCGAGGTAGTCAACATTTTTGCCAGAACCTTGGCCACCCATTAAAGGTCATCCATTAAAAGGCAAAATCGTCGCAACGATCTTTGGAGAGCTCTTCGTGCAGCGCGACCGCTCCATTAGGGCTGCCCTCGACTTTATCTGCCAGGACACCGTGTGATCCTTTGGGAGGGGGTGGGGGAGCGGAGGGACGCGACCCGCGGCGTGGGTGGTTAATTTGCGTGCGGGGCTCACTCCCGTCGCCAATGGGAAAAGTGTCGCCCGGCGCCGCCGCGCTCGCTCACTCTCTCCTGCTCCTGCTCTCATTGTACCCAGCGTCCCTGCACTGCAGCGACTCGTTTGTTGACGTGGGAGTAATGGGTGGGTGGGGGTGGAAGGGGGAGGGAGGGAGGGAAGGAAGGAGGCCTGGTTGCCATGGAGACCTGCATCTGTTTTACAGTCGCTTTGTCTCTCGCCTTCAGGAGTTTCCAGTCGACTTGTAAAAAAAAAATCAAAACTGAAAGTGAAAATCCTTTCACGCGGGGGGGGGGGGGGTTGCAGGGGTGTGGGGGCACGTGGCAGGAGAGAGGGGAGGATGCTGCTTGCTCCGGTGTCACGTTCTCTTCAGGAAATGGGAAACCACAACACTCCCTTCGCTTCGCGTGGAGAAGTGGCGGAATCCCCGAGTGAACAATGCACGCGCGATTCCGACAGCGGGATCGGTTCACGCGCACACGGTGCGCGAGCCCCGTTTGTCGACGAGGACCTCCCCGCGCCGTACGGTTGGTGGGGGTGTTGTTTGACCGTACTTCACCACGCCGGTCTGTGCGGCTTGGCTTGGTGAGGACAGAGTATTGACGAGGGAGCATAGAAGTGCAGTGCAAACATTGATTCGTCTGCACTGCCTTCTCTGCTGGCCATAACATAACCCAGCCCCGCGACCACATGTGACGACCTGACCTGCGTCGTGGTCACCCATCCAGGCACCAAGCAGGCTCAGCCTGCTTGGGCGTCGGCGATGTCTCAATGTGCCGGCCAGCTGGCCCAGCCATAGAGCGGTCGGACGGTCCTCCGGTTAAAATCCTGTTTTGGGGATTCTGCTTTGTCGTCATCTCGTCGTCTCGTCGTCATCATCGTCATCGTCGTCATCATGTCGTCGTCATCATCTCATCATCGTCGTCATTATCGTCGTCGTCATCGTCGTCATCATCGTCATCTCGTCGTCATCATCTCATCATTGTCGTCATCATCGACGTCATCGTCATCTCGTCGTCATCATCTCGTCGTCATCATCGTCATCATCGTCGTCTCGTCGTCGTCATCATCGTCTTGGCATGTCGTCGTCGTCATCTCATCGTCGTCATCACGTCGTCGTCATCACGTCATGTCGTAGTCGCCGTGTCTCCTGTCCAACCTCTACGGTCTCTATGTTCTCTGCACAGGCCACCGCTTCTGGGCTTGGCATTGCTAAATATTGAGGAGTCATGACATTGTGCTGCAGTGCCTCTCAGGAGATGGTATCACGTGGTTTGCCTTTCCTGACAAGCACATTGGTCGGTTGTGTAGAAGCCCCCCCCCTCCCCCCCCCCCCCCCACGATTTCATGAGAGAGTTGCATCTGCTGAGAGCCACTCAGCCTGTTTAGGCTCGGCCATGTGAGCCATTTGGAATAGAGCCAGATGCGAGCTCCTTTGCTGGGGATTGACTAAGCCCATCATCCCCCCCCTCTGGGGTTGATAAAATAGATACCACTTTTGTGGCAAAGTCAGCAGTGGTTGTCCTCTCTCCATCACACCGGTGTGCTGTACTCGTAACGAATTGGCACGTTCTGTTTACGTGACAAACCTCACTAATTGGCTGTTACGGGTGGTGGCGGGTTTAACGACACATTTATATTTACGCGATCCAACCTAAAAAAAAACACTTATAAAGTGGTTGTCCTATTTGTAAACTTTTCCCCGCCAAAGAAACTTAAGAATTTCCACCACGAGGCTTGGGGGCTGTGTACATCGGCTGGGCATGTGATGCCTAAGTACTCATTTAAGTGGGGGAAATCGACGACTTTTTTCTTTCTTTCACTTCGAAGTTCATAATTGTAGACGCTTAAATAACACTCAGAAGGGGTGGCTATGCAGTCCCCAAATGATCACGTGACCAATTTCTCCCGTGACCTTTCCCCCCCCCCCCCCCACCAGCGACACCGTGTAATCTCGACTTGAACGAGCGAGCTGCTTGCACGCTTCCTGCCGTGCGCGTTTGGCTCCCCATTATTCCCCGTCGAGGCCCGGGAGTGCGAGGGGTCGCCCATTTCATTGCACAAGAGGCAATTTGAGAACCCCCCCCCCGCCACCTTTTTGTGAGGGTTTGAGTCAACGGGGGGGGGGGGGGGAGTGGCGGAGGGTTTGGGGGGTGGCGGGTGGTGACTTTAATCAATGGGCCGTGCTGGGGAGGTCCCGTGCGTGCATCGCAACGTAGCGCAGGCCGGAGCTGGCGAGCGACCCGATTGAGATGCGTACGGGGTGGGGGGACGCGGCGCAAGGGGGGGCGGGGTGCGGAGAGCCTCGTTCGCAACATTTTGCACCCCCCAAAAAAAAAAACGGCAGCCGTCTCTCCCATCTGTTTTGACGCCTGAATCTCTCTCCCATCGGCCCCGTCGTATTTTTATCTGGCTACAGTTCACGAATGCCTCCCCTGCCCCCCCCCCCCCCCATTCAGACTGTAAATCTGCACCGTCAAAGATTATTGGCCAGGTTTAGACTTGCTTTATGGCCAGAGTGTATCTCGGCTCGCATACCAGCATAGTACCGTCCACTGATGATATCACTCGTATAGATTGTGTGGCCGCACTTGACATCGTGATCGTCGTCGTTATTCTCAGGTCCGTAAGATGTAGAAAGCCAACAGTGGGCGTGCTATGCAGAGACAGATCCATGCCATAGGAATGTGGAATTTACACCATTTGCTCAGGAGTTGAGCCCAAGCCCCCTGCCGTGCTACAGTCAAAGGGATGTTTTTACATTTATGTTGACTTACAGCACAGGGGGACCTTGTACTTTTATTTTTTAAATGCAAAACAAATATCCACATACTAAGCTATTAAGTATTCCTTCAATGAAGCCTTTGGTATAGTGTGAGGCGTTTTTGCTGCGCAAGTCATTAGGAACGAGGGCTCCTTCATATTAACTGAAAGCCCACATAGCTAGAAAGGTTTAACGGGATCTTTATACCCTCCGTGATTATTTTTTTTTCATCAATGCCCATGACAAACTATTATGAAGGACAATCATACAAATAAAACTTGCGAGCCATTGTCTTGATAAATGAATCCACGCTATGATTCGTTCGAAGGTTAAAACATAATCTATGCCTTGAGTTTCCTTGCTGGCTGCTGGCTGAGCTCCTCTGCGCACCCCACGCGGTGATGAGATGTAATCTTCCTCGCCGAGTGTACAGGAGATCGGGGTCCGACCCCGACCCCGACACCTGTGTATGTGGAGTTTGCGTCTCTCTCTCTGCCTGTGGTCGCATGGATTGTTTTTCTCCGGGTCCTCCGGTTTTGCCCTCCACTTTTAGAAACATGCGCTTAGAGTGTTTAGATTTCTTTCGCTGCTATACATTTCCAAATGATGGGCCACTTTGTTGAAGTTTATGGGGATGGTTTAGTGTTGTAGTTGTGTGTGCTTGGGTGATTTGTTTACCTTTCTGGTACTTTGCACAACTATCGCGTGTTGTTGTAACTCTGTGTTTGTTGTTGTAACGTTCTTACCCCGTGCCTCGACTGGACATCTATGAAAAAGAGATTTATAACTCATCGGATTCCTCCAGTATAAATACATATTCTGATTCCGAGTAACTCTGTTGTTAGAGGCTGCGGGGCCGTTTGCCACCGAAGCTAGCTGGGTAACTGGCTAAATAAGCATTGTAGTTTTTCCGTGTAAGAAAAACAAACGTTGAATTCAAACGGCGGAAGAAGTTTGGAAGACGTAATCGCAGGTAGCGACGCTGAAGAGGTGGGGGTCACAAATACAGAAGACACCACGATTAATTTAATATTGCTCTAACTTTTCAATTTGTGCACACAGTCGTTTAATTACTTTGACAGAATATTCGATAAATCCTAGAGAATGTAAAATCAATCCTCACAATAGATGTTATCTTGGCATTTTATTGTTATATAAAAAGCAGATTACTCTTAGTGCTCTGAGTACAGGAGGACTGAGAAGAGTGGAAATGAGAAGAGATCCCATTTCAATGGGATCTCTTCTCATTTCAATAAATTGAAACAATTACCACAGTTTGTAAATCTTCTGTTAGATAAAGCCCCCCCCCCCACTCTGCATCAGTCATATGGGTTGTTTGACCATACTTCACCACGTTGGTCTGTGCGGGTCGGTGGAACGAGGAGGGGGGTGGTGCTCAGAACCAACTGGTTCAGATGCCGCTCGCCACTGACGTTAGACGTGGGCCGCGGGTTAGTTGGTTCTCAACCCCGTCGTGGCAGCCGCTCCTCCGTAAACACATCGCCAGGGCAAAAGCCTGGCGTGTGTTCGTGTGAAATTGGCCCAGTTAAGTAATTACTATCGTAAACGTTGATGTCGCTAAGTGGAATATCATAAAAATGTATATAATGGGACAGCTGGCTCTCTCCCGTGAATTATTATTATTTTTTTCATCCCTCACACAGGTTAGCCAGTCGATTTATGTTTCACTTTCCATCTTGGTGAGAAAACAAAATCATTCGTAGCGGAGCCATGTTGGGATAAGCGGAAGCAGCTTGCCGCATTATTGCAACGTTGAGTGCCCTCCCATGTATATTTCGCCAGCGTTCAATTTCAGCACGCTGTGCTGCGGCTGGTGGTGGCGTTGCCTGCTATAGCAAACGAGGATTGCTTTTCATTAAAGGTGTAAAAAACAAAAAAATCATCTTAGAGCGAAGGGAAGCGTTGAGATGGGGAGACGATGACGCGATGGCGGTGGGGGTGGTGGCGTGAACGTGGAGTGGCGTAGCTTTTATTTTTGGATGAGCTTGTTAAACACGACGATGAACGGTTGTGTGTTTCCGTACCGTTTCAGTCAGGCAAAGAGTGGACGGCCCCGGGAGAGTACACCAAGTTCAGGACCCAAGCATCGAGCCCCGTCAGGTAAAGCGATTTTTATTCGCGGCACGCACGCACGCACGGACGGGTGGACGGTGTCGGAGTTGAGGGGTGGGTGGGGGGCAGTGGTGGTGGGTGGCGGCTCTCAGAAAACGATGGATAAAATAAACATCACCCCGCCACCGAAGCCGCCCACACTGGTCGCTTGCCCTTGGCTTGCCCGTCAGGGCTCCTCTGCAAACATCCCAGTGAGCATTGAGATAAACTTATTACACACACACACACACACGCGCCCCTTGCTATTTGTGTGCTCTCTCCCATGTGTGCTCTTTCTCTTTCTTAATACAGATAAAGCCGGTCGTGTTTTTTGGAGCTTTCGCGCACCCCGTGGTTTGGGGGAGACGGTGGTGTGAATTGCGAAAGGCGACCGTTCATTTTGTTTTTACGCCTCGGCTCTATCTAAACGGGCAGCCAGCTGCTCGTGGTCTTAGAGGTTTTTCACCGCTGACTTGTGTTGGGTATGAGCATCTGTCAGCCTTTGCTTTGAAGGATAATGTGCCTCATGATATTCAGAACCCTGTTCGGGCCCAATTTGCCCTCACTTCAAACGAAACTTTTGGTATTTTAACAGGTAAGGCCCACTGAGCTTTATTGCTCCTTTTCAGAAGCGACCTGGCCACAAATGATAACTTAACGAAGTGGCTTATCACGTGGAAATATATAGCAGCCACATGCTCTTAAAGGCATGTTTCTAAATGTGGAGAGAAAACCGGAGGACCCAAAGAAAAATCCACGTGACCACGGGGAGAGAGACACGCAAACTCAAAATATACAGGCGCCAGGGTCAGGATCGAACCCATGACCTCCCGTACACCAGGTGAGGTAGATAACATCTCGCCACTGTGGCACATAGGCCTCTTTATTTTTAGGAAGGGTTCCAGCTTCAGGATATTTGGGCAGTGACATTGATGAGCGTACGGCTTCACGTGGCAGGAAGCCAGCGTGTCCCGGAGAAAAACCCCATGACGGCACAGGGAGAGGGAGGATGACGCTCGGCACACGACCGCCTCTCCGTCACACCTCCGTTCCCCCACGTACATCAGCTGGCACACTGCGGCTCACACCATCCAAGCACTTGGCAGGCTCAAGCGTTGAGCAGCTTAGCCTCCGAGATCTGACGAGAACGGTAACTTTTGAGGTGGCTTGCTCGTGGGCTGCCCGCGTTGATCTTCTGATCGGTGCTGGCGAGCGGAAATCGCTTTGTTCGCTGCAGTAGCCTGAGCGCAACGGGTTGCGTGTAATTTGCATAAAATCGGAGGTGATTGATTGCCATGGGCTGAATTCCCACGTGTGCGTCGCGAGAGACATCAATTAAAATCGGGAGATGGCTGGCATACCTCGAGTTTGCCGTTTTAGTCACGAGGTCACGTCAGTTTGCGGCCTGACAAACCATGACCTCTGACCCGGACTAATCAAGATTTTCACTCTGCCATGAACTCGGTTGTCGTCTTTTGTTGCGGAATATTTTCTCCCGAGTTGGGCGAATGGTATGGGAACAGCATATTATAACGAGACAAAGTTATTTTTATACTTCTTTGGTTCTTTCGGTAAAGTCACGTAGAATGAGAATAAAATAATAAAATAAAACAATAAAATTCTCACGACGTTTCGGCCACAACACAAGTGGCCTTCTTCAGGTGAAAGGAACAGACCTGCCGGGACGACAGAGCTTCAATGAACGTTGTTAAGATTTGTAGCGACTTTTAAGCTGGTTTAGAGAATTTAGCATTGAAATAGCTATTTCAATGCTAAATTATCCTGTTTGATATGTAAACCCCTTTGTCAAGGTACCTCACTTCTCTAAACCAGCTTAAAAGTCACTACAAATCTTAACAACGTTCATTGAAGCTCTGTCGTCCCGACAGGTCTGTTCCGTTCACCTGAAGAAGGCCACTTGTGTTGTGGCCGAAACGTCGTGAGAATTTTATTGTTTTATTTTATTATTTTATTCTCATTCTACGTGACTTTACCGAAAGAACCAAAGAAGATGAATCCTTGCAGTCACGAAAGCTTTAAATCGAAATTTATTTTTATACTCTTTGGTTCTATTCGGTAAAGTCACGTAGGTAAAAAATAAAATAAAACAACAAGTTATTTTTGTGAGTATTCTTTGATGCCAGCCATCTGCCGATTATAATGATTCCTCAATAGAGAGAGGGGTGTTTTAGTCTGCCTAATTTAAATAAGGATCACACACGCGCAACTCTTGCCCTCAGATATTTTGTTGTTTTGTTTTTTTTTGGTTTGGGCCCAAGCACTTTCATCTCCACACATACGCACGCGCACCCACGTAAACATTTGTTTACTCCCATCCCACTTATTTCATGATGATGAGGAAAGTAAATTAACCGGCGGCAAATGCTGTTTGCGGTCGGAAACTTGAGTTATTTATTCAGAGCGCTTTGTCAAGGTGCTGCTTTACAAAGGCCTTCCCCACGTCTTTGTCTTTCTTGAGGGGGTGAGGGCGGGTGGTGGGCGGTTGTTGGCCAGTGCGGATTAGCCGAAGGGGTTGGTGGCCCAGGACCGGTTTGGATAATAACACGCCACTGATGTTAGCCGTGGCAGGGTTATCGAACGAGGGTCGCCGGGTTTGTAGCGCCGTACAGCAACAACTGCGCCACCGCGTCACCGTTGACGTGAGTTTTTAATCATCACCGTGGTAGCGAAGGATATCGTGGAAATTGTATTATAATAACGTGCAAATGAAGACGTGCTCTCTGGGGCACTGGCAGCGTCGCATCGGTGGGTTTTTTTCCCGTCTCTTCTGGAGCCCCACTGCTCTGCAAACACCATGGGTTAAACACTTTCCCTTCTTGGCAGCACAGCCACTGAATGAATAATGAATGAATTGCCGAAACCCCCTTTTTTATTACTGGTGGGGGGAAGCGGAGGGATTCGCTCTCTCGTGCAATGAAGATTTTGGGATCCTTGTGCTTTGAGATTCATGACGTCTTTCCTTCCGAGCGTGCCGTCTCGCCGCCGCCGCCGCCACACACAACAAAGGGGGGCCCGCACAGCAGTCGAGCCGCGTTCTTAGAGGCTCGATTTCAGTCGACCTCTTTGAACGACGAGGTGGCCCGGTGGCCCCCGGGGAGCCAACGCCGCCGGGTCAGAGCACCGAGCCGCCCGGCACCGTTGAGATCCTGGGTTTGGATCCTGGGTTCTGGTTTCGACCGCCGGTCATTAAACCGGGGGGCGGGGGAAAGGGGGTGTCAAGTCGCTCGTGTCGATGGGAGTCAGCACCGTCACCGATCAATCCCATCCATCAGTGTCATCTCCCGGGTTCAGAGGCCAACGGTCAACGTGTGGCCGCCCTTTCTCTCGGTGCAAGCGCTCGTGATATTCCACCGTGACGGGATGCGTCCACCCCAGCCCCCCCACTCCCCCACCCCCCACTACCCGCGCATGTCCAGCTTTGTCTTGCTCTTCTGTCTTCAGGTTTCCCAAGGAGAAGGGGCGGCACCACATGACCGCAGTGCCTATCTCCTTCCGCTGGCTACATCCGGCATCCTTCTCTGCAATACCATTATTATGGACATCTGTCACCGACAGATAATAAACAAATTAAAAAACACCCCACCTTGTTAATTGTTTTCACATAATTTCGCTTATCCGAACATTGAGAAGTATATCACTTGGTTTGATTGACATGCGACAAGCACGCTTTGAAGGACATGAAAGAAAGGGTTGCCCGTCATGAGGTGTGGTAGAGTGGGGAGTTGTTCCAAGGTCGTATTCCAGGAGCTTTCTCTGACACCGGGTGGTGCACTGATTGCTGCGAGAGATTCCAGGATAGGAATCGTGACATGATACCGTGAGCACGATTTAAATAGAATCTAAGGAGTGAAAAAATTCGAAAATGTTTTTTACAATTTTTTTACAAATCCTCTCAAAAGATGTTGAAGAATGATATCGTTAACCGTTTTTTTATTTTTATTTCCCCGTGGTAAGTGAATCGATGTACTGTACTGTCGTCCGCTCGGCACGTTTATGCCACCAACGCTTTTTGAATTGAAGGGAATTGCAGGCGTGGAAGAATTAAAATGGTGTTTCTGTGCTGCGAGACATTTTGTACATGATGGGCGCAATATAATTCCAAGTATTTGCCCGCTGTTTACATTTGGCGTTGGGCACTTAGCTTCTTTTGTGTTAGCGTGACTGTGTTAACGCACCCCGAGTGCACTCAGGGGAATGCATCACGACGATAACAATAATAAGTGTATTAGTGCAATTATTCACCCGGGAAACGCTCAGCACTCCTTCACAGGAGGGCTATGCATTAGTGGCGGGATATTCTCGTCAATAGGCACCAGGTGGATTATTGCACCGCGTGATCATGAAATGTGGCAGCGGGCGTGCAGAGGAACGTCATCCAGCAGTGGATTGATCGTGACTGATGATCCCGATTCTCATGATTCTTAAGCCTGGAATTGCTGTTACGCTCTCAAATGGAATACGATTCCTCGCGGGATCCCCATATCGGCGGAGTCGTGGGCAGGTCGGAAGTGAGGGCCCTTGTGGGGCCTAGGCTGGCCTAGTTGAATCACAATGGATTGTACGGCTGATGGCTATTAATATGTTTCAATGGCTATATTGTTTGTGACTGGCTGGAAATGGCATAGATACTAGTCTGCTTATACATTTAAGTGGCGATTCGAATCTATAGAGCTTGGCTGGTATCGATCAGATATTCCAATAATGCATTGTATTAGGATCAACCGCCAGGACAACCAAAGTTACTCCTGAGGCCTCACAGACTACCGCTTGGACTACCAGGACTACCGAGACTATAACTTAGACCACCTGGACTACCTTTGAATACCTCTGGGACTATTGGGACGACCACTAAGGCCATCCGAACTACCACTGGGAGGGACCTCAGACTAATGCCACGATGTCGAGATGTTAACTACCTCGCCTGGTACACAGGAGGTCGTGGGGTCAATCCCGACCCTGGCCCCTGCTGTATGTTTGGAGTTTGCGTGTTCTCCCCTTGGTTGTGTGGTTTTTTTTTTTCTCCGGGTCCTCCGGCTTTTCCCTCCACATTTAGAAACACGCGTTTAGAGTATTTGGCTGCTATAAATTTCCACATGACAAGCGACTTCGTTAAGCTATCATTTGTGGTCCATGTTGCTTCTGAAAAAAGAGCTATATAGCTCAGTGGGCCTTACCTGGTAAAATACAAATACATTTTGATTTAAAGCTTTCGTGACTGCAGGGATTCATATTCTTGGTTCTTATGGTAAAGTCACGTAGAAGGGAAACAATGAAATAATAAAAATATAAAACAATAAAATTACCACGACGCTTCGACTGCAACACCCCTTCTACGTGACTTTACTGAAAGAACCAAGAATAAAAATACAAATAGTTTAGTTTTTGACTACTCCGCAGATTACTCGGACTGTGGGAATGAGGCATCAGTGGTGTTGGAGCTAGAGTTGGGTTGTTGCAGCGACATTTTAATTGGCCGGGGCTAAATTGGTGGAATGGGAGCCGCACAGCCCCGATGACCATCTCCCAGTGGTTCATCACAAGCATCACGTCGCAGCTTTTTTTTGAGCTGGAAAAGTTCCTTTTAATCTTCATTTTAATTCAAATAACACGTGCGTGGGTACGTGTCGGGTCACTCCCTTGTCCATTATGTAAGCAGATGAGATAAGAGTCCATTTATATTCGTGTATATATATAGATAACGGGAGCTCTCATAGTTATAAAGTTGAGTTTCATTAAACATACAGAAATCGGTCATTTCATATCTTCTGTGTATAACCAGGTGACTGACCGCTGAGCAATGGTGAAACTTTGAAAAGGAGATATTATTAATGTCAATAATACTCAGTTGTGAAATGTAATCCGTCACTCCCTGTAACGTTCTTACCATTTATTCTACGGCGTTTTCTCCTGCCACCAAACTCGACACAATCGTCAGCAGCACTGCCTTTAAGATGGAAAGAAGCGGAATCGGCGATGTTTCGGGCCGATGGCCCTTTTTCATAATCCCTTCGCTACGAAGACCGGCCAGCGGCCCATGACGTCGCCCACTAACATGTATCCCCCCGTGTTGGGGCACTATGATTGACGAATGTGTTGACCTTTTCGTCTGTTGGTGCTAATGCACCGCTGCCAACCCGGGCGTCGCGGTGCCGGCACGCAGCTCGCCATCGTAAGCTTGCGAGTTAAAATCCCAGTCAGGGAGACGACTCAACCCCTGCACCCCCCTTCCTGTTATGCCTCACATCCCCCCCTCCTTCGTGTTAAAGCCTCCACACCATTTGAAGCGGCGTTTTGAGTTTCTCAGAGGCCAGAGCGTGCGGTGTAGCGCGATCAAACCCTGGACCCGCTGACCTGTGTGGTGAGGCCATTGTCCAGCCGTGGTCTGACAAAAGGAGCTGTCTGTGTGCGTACAATGCACCTTCGGTTCAATAATAAACGCTACGAGTAGACTGATAATGACAAGTGGCATGCCCGATGTGCCTGAAGAGGACAGCTTTCAGTAATTGCATATTGCCGCATATGACACGCGTATCAGAAACGTGGGCACCGGCAGCAGTGAATGGCGACAAAAGCCGAAATGCGTTCAGAGCGGCGTGGAGATACCGCCACGCTCAGAGTTGAGCCGAAAGACAAAAAGCGGAGGACGTCGCGTTGACTTGTCGAGGAAGGTTGAGCGGCGTGCTTGGGAAGGACGCGTCGTTGCTCAGACGTGGGGGACGATGGTGACGGCCAGGGGGAGGTGACGGTGCCCGACAGAACGCAAACAGCGGGGACGGAGCCGTGAGACGTTGCTCCCTCCGTGCGCAGGTCTGACGCGGTCTCTGTGTGCCTGTGTGTGGCGTTGCGGAAAACTGCGGGAGGATGTCGGCACCCTTGCGCGTCTTTCGTCAGGCAGTGGATAGGCACCGGCTAATGATGTCGACGATGAGACGTACTATATATCTGTAGTTAGTGGTGTTCAGCCCAAAGAGGGGAACCGCGTGTGTGCGTGCGTGCGTGTGCACGCAATATCTTTTTTTTTGCTCGCAGCTTCCTGCCTTGCAATTGGATGAACTGTTGCATTTGAAATGAAAAGGGTATCTGAATGTGGACGCACCTTATGACACTGTGCAGCTATGTCCGCTCATCCCAATTCGGGAGCATTGCTCCTTACCGGCCCCCTCTCCCCACCCACCGCTTCAGTCCCTTGCCTTTTGTTTTCCGAAAACCATTTCGCAGACTACAGGTGTGGCCCCGGTTGCAAGGTCCATCTGTCTTCCCCCGCAGAAGAGATAATGAATCTCAATTGCCTCTCGCCAATCTTAAATAAAGGAACATTGGATGTAATTTAATTTGCTCCCGTGCTTTCAAAGTCCCGTAACGCGTTCTGATGATCTGTAATAAACACGAAGGGATTGCGTGAAATGAATGGGTTCCTACAGTCGTCAGCGTAATTATAAATAATAACATGCTGAGTCGGACAAAGCTGAGCTTCAAAAATAACGATGGAACAGACTGGCTAAAGACACATACGCATTCTACTGATGCAATAAGTGGGTGCTTTATAACCTCTGGTGTTCCTTAGCCAGCAATGGAAATTCCGTATTCCTCTCGTGGATATCTCCATAGGGCAAGCACTTTGGGCTTTGACCATGTGATGGGCAACTCGGCTACCCAGAGAGATGATGGGCTGAGTCGGACCCTGACCAAGATTTGAACTTTGGTAGAGGTTAGTCTCGCCACAGGACCATCACCGAACCTCTCCGCTTTGCCTACCTCTCCCCTCTCATCTCACTCTCCTCCCCTCCGCGTGATTCTTCCGCCTTCGTCTCACTCTGCTCGCCTACCCACCCTGACCACGAGCTATCATCGCTTCCAGAAAAGTGTCCTGTCAATGACTACTTACTTTTCTGATCAGTCAATACGACTTACTTGACGAACGTGTGTTCTCCAATTAATTTGTTTCTCGGTCTCGTCGGAACTCCCAGCATGCTCGTCTTAATACCTCATTTTAAACTTTTCAGCTTTATCTTGATTGTCTTTGTCAAAAGTCCGTATTTCTGATCCACCTGTCAGAGCAGGCAATATACACGTCTTGACAACTTAACTTTTTCGGAACATTGCTACGTAAAATTTTAATGAAGTTCGATTTCCAAAAGCTACTGGATATTAGCCGCTCATAGATAAATCCAAATTTGACATTCTTGGATTTCGGCAGAGGAAAGACAGCGGGAGGCACTGCGGTCGTGTTGCTGCGATGCTCACAGGGAGCATTGTTGCTCCCCTCTCCACCTTGGGGAAAACCTGAAGGCAGAAGAGGAAAGAGGAAGACAAAGATGGACGCGGGGGGGGGGGGGGGGGGGGGGGGGGCGGCGGGGATGACATTTGTGAGTGGACCAATCCCGGCACGGGGACTTTCACGAGCGCTTGTACCGAGAGAAAGGGCCGCCACACGTTGACCCTCTCGGCCTCCGAACGCGGGAGCTGACACTGATCGATGGGGGATGGATCAGTGATGGTGCCGACTCCCATCGACTCGCGCCACTTGACATCCCCCCCCTTCCCCTCGTGGTTTAATGACGGGCTGATGAAACCGAACCCGGGATCCGAACCCAGGATCTCAGCGGTGCCGGGCGACTCGGTGCTCTGACCCGGGGTGGCGTTGGCTTCTTGGGGGGCCACCGGGCCACCCCGTCGTTCAAAAAGAGGTCGAGTGAAATCGAGGCTCAAACGATGTGAAACGTCCGATGGCTTTGTGTTGATGCGCGAGAAGGTCCGGCCGCTGTCGCCCGCTGTCGCCCACTGACGCTCGCGTTTTGTCCCGTCAGGCTCTCCGCCTCCTCGCGCTACTACTTCGAGGTGCTGCACAAGCAGAACGACCGCGGCACCGACCACGTGGAGGTGGCGGTGAGGATTCGCACGTCAGAATACAACCGGGTGGGGGGGGGCCGTCAGCGCAGAGTTAACACTCGTGACCCCCACGGCAAGAAGGGGGGACCTGGGTTTGATTGCTGAACCAGGCGCTGACATTGGAACAACTGCGGGATCCTGGGGTAGAAAACGACGCAACAGCGGCATTGGCCTTGATGGCCTCTTGACCTTGAATGGGTACTGAATTCACTGTATGGGCAAGTCGCCAACCTACTTGCTTTACTGCCAGCCCAAGTGGATCCGATAAAGCCAACCTAATCGATGGATTGTTCACGGGTAAGGGAGGGAACCAACGCCCACCGCTGCCAACATCAAAGAGCTCAATGACGAAGCAACCATCGCAACCCGAGTGTAAAATCAAAATTAAAGCTTAACCCCCCCCACCTCCTTTCCGAGCTGGGCCCAGCTTTCCTCACCAGCGGTGGCGGGGGGTGGGGGTTGGCGTCTGAGCCCTGTCGCGTTAGCCGCCCCCGCTAACAGGATTCGCTCCGAATTAAAAAGCGCACGCCGCCTTTCAAATTCACTGCCCCGGAAAATTACGCCACGTTGCGGTATTGACCCGGGCTTTAATTTCTTGCCCCAGCCACCCACACCCCCGCCCCCCGCCCCAACACTCTCCATCCGCCGCTGCCACTGTGGAAAAAACAAAAAAACTCCTCAAGCAAACGCTCTGTGATGGTTAAACGAAACAGCTGCCCGCTGTGCCCAACCACGCCGCTTTGATTAAAGCTCTGCCCGTGTTTTTGCCGTTTACAGTGGCGACTCAACGTCCCCAGCTCCACGTTCGCCATCATCGACGCGAGACACCTTTCCCTGTACACCGGTAAGCACCGCCTCATTAGATTTCCACCACCCCCCCCCCCTTGCCCCATCACAGCCGTCGGATGAGTTGTCGCCGCCACAGATCCATTTGTTTTTATCGTCTCCTCGGTGTGGTCCCTCGTTTCTCGCATCTCATTTGCACGGTTCCCTTCTTCGCCGCCGCGTCAGCCTCGATGCAATGCATATCGCTTGCGTTCGAATTGCAAGTAGGTGCGGCCTTTGTTTCTATTCACTGCTAGGTGAAAGCCTCTCCACTGCTAGATTAAGGTCGTGGAGGATGTTTGACCACACTTGACCGTGCTGGTCAGTGCGTCTTGGCGAAGGGGAGGCTGTGACATGGGCTGGTTCAGTTGTCAGCTCGCCCACTGATGTTGTCTTTTGGCCAGGAATCGAAGTCAGGTTTTTCCACGTTCACCGCGCGGTGCGCTAACCACTGAGCCACTGGTCCACCCATAATGTTTTACTCATCGACAACTTATCGCCCGCATTTAAACGTGTGTGTCGTGAGGGTAAGAATGAACACGCATCGATGAATCGACGTGAAATTGAACTCCTACTCATTCGCTACTAAAACTACACTTGAGATACGGGGGGGAAAGAGACGAGTTAACTTTAGTCATTGTCTCTGATTAAATATATCACATAAGTTTTTTAGCTTACCGCACATCTTGGGCTGATATGATCACTTCCAAGAGGTTCATGAATGTAAAATGTAATTTAAATTAAGCCTTACTTCTTCTGTCTGGCTGTAAAATATATAAATGTATACGTTTTTATCCCCTTTAGCTGCATGGCTGTGTCTGCGCCTCATTCTGTCAGCGTCTCTGCGTGTCCCTTCCATCTCTAATCCATTCCGCAAACACCCCCAGTGCCACGTTCCTTCGTGTCGATTAAACGTTGCAATAAAACCAGGTGACCTTCGGTTCCGGTCGTATTTACCTTTTTCTCATCGTCGCCCCCATCGTCAGCCACGCTCTCTCCGCTGCTGGGTGACGGGCCTCCTGCTCCCGACACCACCGTGGTCATCCTCTCGGGCCTGTTTTCCCACCTACAGGCTGCTATTCCGCCCGCCCGCCTTGTCAATGCGAATGTCGCTGCTGCTGTTGTTGTTATTATTACCCTGGCCGTTCTCATTGTGCCCCCCTCCCCCCCCCCCCCCGTTTTCCTCGTAGACGACTCGTCGTTCAAGATGAACGAAGTGGAGTACATCCCGCAGTCCCCCGCCAGCCACGTGGGCGGTCTGGAGAAGGCGTCGCTGCCGAGCCACTCTGCCGAGATGCTGCACCCCGACGCTCGTGACTCCCTCTACCTCAGTACGACCCCTGACCCTCCGCTCCCCAGACCCTCCACTCGCCCAGACCCTCCGCTCCCCCGAACCTTTCAAGCTGGAGCGTGCACGGGTGCCTTTTGGTTATTAAATCGGAATCGGAATATTTATACTGGAGGTGTCCGATGACCTCTAAAGCGCTTTTTCACAGATGTCCAGTAGAGGCGGGTCAGAACGTTACAACGATAAACAATACAGAAACACTACAGGAGTGCAATGTATAGCCAAGGTAAACAAATCACTGAAAAAAAATATACAAATTAAACTCAACAATTTTTTGTTATCTTACCAAGTAAAGCCCTGTGAGCTATTAGCTTATTTTTCAGAAGTGACTTGGCCACAAACGATAGTTCAACCAAGTGGCTTATCATGTTTGTTAGCCAATTGATGCGGTAACACATCCTGCTTGACATAAACGGTTACATTGCAGTAGCATTTATTCCCATCTGCAATCGACCAGAATCGCCGTTTTGACCAGCCGGTTTTGGCAATGCTTAGCCGAAGTTTAGTTCATCTAGATTTGCGGTGAAATCATGATGGGATCCCACTCCATTACAGGAATATGCCATAGCAGAATCCCCGTTAGAATCCCATGGAAAGTGAATGGAGATTTTTTTTTTTTTACAAAGCAAAAGGAGAATCTCTACTCTTGCAGGAATCGCTCTGGATGGAATCTTATGAATCCAATAGAATCCCTATTGGAATCGTGCGAGGTAGAATCCTAGGACTTGGATACGACTCCCAGAGCAAACCACCCAGCTGTAAACCAGGAACACGTGCACATACGTCAGTGTTCAGCTGCGGTTCCTCCGCGAGGCTCCGGCGCGCGATTTCGCCCGGCTTGACGTTTCATTTTTGCCGCTGCGATGCAGCTCCACTGGTGGAGGCGACGGTGCTGAAGGGGATCCTGCCGGACTGCGAGTACCGCCCGTCGTACCTCCTGCACGGCTACGACCTCGACCGCTACCAAGGCCTGCAGTTTGTGAGTACCCCCCCCCTCTCCGATTGACAACCACCCCCCACCCTCACCCCATCCCCCACCCCGTGCCACCTCTTCAGTGCAGATTCAGTCCGTTCTGCTGTCACGCGGCGGTAGTTGCGTTCTCGAAGGTTGCCGCATTATGGAAACATTCCTGTTGTAATAAACAATTTAGGGTAAAGCAAAAACTCGCGATAACACGTGAGAGATGTGTATGCAGGCTGAACAAGAAGCATCCAGCCGAGGCAGCCGTACGACCGCTTATTCCTACTCGCGCGACGTAGTTCCGTTCACTCCATCGTGTTAAATCCAATTCGCATCCGTGTTATAAAAAGTGTGTTCCTTAATGAATTCACCGCATTATATCCAATTCGCATCATGAAAACAACACACGTTATAGGAGAAACAGGCTGTACTTGTCGCCAGCCGGGGTATCTGCTTGTACTGGGTTATACCCACAATGGCAGAGCCAGGATTTTCAGGTAGGGGGGGCAACCCCTCCAGCAATGAAAAATGATAGGAGCTAGTAAATAAGGACTTGTCCCTTGCTTTTTATTCGACGCATGTGTGGTGATGGCGCAGCCATCCATCGAGGGACGGATTCGAACCGTGCGTGATCGGCATCGCGCTCGCTGAAGGTGAATGCCTTCAGGGAAGTCGTGTACTGGATACACAACTGCGCACAATTCTGAGTCACTTATTACTGCTTTGCCATTACTTATTGCCAATTATTGTTCTATCATCTCATAGAGTCCCTGGCACGTAATGATATGCTACACAGTGGCAGTGGGGGTCGCAAAATGCCGATTTATTACTAATAAACCCAATGATCCGATCGAAATCACTAATTTCGATCGGATCATGGGGGGGGGGGATGTGCCATCCCACCCCCCCCCCCCCACTGGCTCTGCCAGTGCTTACCCAATTGGGGATCACACACGGCAGAAATCATTGCCCCCCCCCCCCCCCCCCCCCCCTTACTGCCAGGCTAATGCTCGTCTGTAGGCCAGGCGCTGCGTCACCTTGTGCCACACTGAGACAGCTACCACTGGGAATCGCTCTGAGATGCCCCGGGAGCATATGCGGCGGTTGCATCAAAATCAAATCGTTATCATTGTAATATAGCCTATAATTAGTTTAAAATTCTCTTTCCCAGGGTACATTGCTAAAGTTATTTCAAACTAAATGACTTGTAGTTTATATATTTGTAGTTGTTGGGTGTACATTGTAAATTCAGATTTATGCCAAGCAATCTGAGACACCATTTCCGACATGGTGTGGAAAGATTGACTCATCCTCTTCTCTGACAGCCTGGGTTCGACTCCCGGTGGTGGAATGCGTCATTCTGGTTGGTTTGGTCATGGCCTGCGGTGTCTGGGCCTCCCTGTAAAACGACGGAGCCCTTAGTGTGTGTACGTTGAACTTCTTTCTCGCCAATACGTAGCCATCCGCGCTAATCGCAAATGCGCGCGACAAAAAAGCGTGTGGATCGGTGAGCTCCTAGCCTCCCGTGTGGACAGGCCTTGGCTGTGAGCGGTGCAGTAACCGCAGTGTGGCCAGCCAGGCTTTGTGTCGGCACGCGTTACTTTGTTATCGAGTATGTCGTGGGGATCTCTGCTCTTCGTGTCCAATCCGGATTATGAGTCGGGAGCGTTGGTGAAGCCCCGACGACTTGCCTGGCACGGTCGCGCCGACTGCAGCATTTTGGGCGTCCCGAGTTTATTTTCTGCGACCGGGGTGAGAACTTTAGAGACGAGGATGAGCCTCGTTTGTATGGTGTGGCCTGGGTTTACTAAAATTCCGAAAGAAAACATATATTTCAAGTATAGCAATGGAAATCGGAACAAAAATAAACCGTGTTATGATGTGAGAAATCGAAAATATTGTACAAAGATAAATCATTGTTACGTAATACATTTCCTGTTGTGCAAGTTGGCTTGGGCAGATTACAATTCAGATTGATCTTAGCACAAATAAAACAAAACCACAACACAATTTGGCAATAACACTGCAGCCTTAAAAGGAACAATTTTACAAAACGCGAGGTTTCGGAAAATGGCCCTTCCTCAAAGTGGATAATGCCAACGCAGAATCCGCAAATTGTATTTGTTTAATAGTACAACTACAATGAAATTACAGAAGCATGAAACTTACATAAGCTGGACCATTGTTACGAATGCATCAAGCGACTGACCGCTGTGTCTAGCTACTCCTTGGTTCACCCTGCCATGGGGTGACCATTGTTGCTACTGCGTCGAGCTACTGACTATTGTGTCCAGCTGCTCCTTGGTTGACCCTGCCCATCAGGTGGCAGAGAGATGCTGGTAAGTGGCGGAGCAGGCTAAGTGAAAGTCACTGACCTGGTGGCGGCAGCAGCAGCACACTGACAGCTGAGAAGGGAGCTTGCTCGGGCAATTACCACGAGCGACTCTTTTGAGGTTGGTATCAGAGAGGGAGGATGCTGCTTGTTGTTTGCTCCCACGGTTGACGACTGACCTGCGACCGCTTGTGTGTGCGCGCCCCTGCTGCTCAGGTGAGCGGTAGTGTCGAGGTTAGCGCTCCGCTGGGCCTCCCCTAGGTCGACTCAGCCTCAAATGAGTACCCGGCGCCGGTGTCTAGTAAACATCGCCACAAGGGAGACAAAGGCGGCCGGGCGTGGGGCTGGCCACCCATGCCGGCCCTTGATAGGTGCTCGCTAACAACACTTGCACCAGCAGTCTGTTAAGGCTATACGGGGTGGGTCTTTGTCTTTGCTGTGCAGGTATACCTCTCCTACATTTACCCCAACGACTACACCCGGCTGACCCACATGGAGACAGAAAACAAGTGCTTCTACCGGGAGAACGCCTATTACCTCGAGAGGTACTCGCGACAACCCTCTCCTTGAAGGTTTTTTATTTACCCTTTTGCTCGTGTTGCCAGTTTAACTTTCTTTCAGCCATTCATTTCAATTTTTTTTGTACTCTCGTTGCCACTCGTGTAAGAAAATACGGCCCGCTCGCCGACCGCCAAAATTGATTTTTTTTCGCAACGATTGGGGGCTGTGCGTGGGCTCCGAGCGCCCAGCGCTAACCTCGTCGTATTTTTGGATCTCGAGGAGAAAGCGGTGACGCGACCGTGGGGGTTCTCGATGTTTTAAAAAAGCCTGCCGCGGCAGAAAGGTTGGCTCATCGAGCACGCGACCCCCGCGTTCAACGCTGGGACCCCGGGCCTCCGCGCTTTAATGAAGAAACTCGTCTTCGCTTGTCAAAAGACGTCGAAGAACTTTTCCTGCTGCGTTGTCATCATTGCCGTGCGTTTTGTAGATCTGGCTGGCTGGTTGTGCACGTGCTCTTGCGCGCGCCTAAGTTCACGATCTCCTCAAACTTTTTCGGCAGGATTAAATTTATTGCTGTCATTTTTCCATGATTTTACGCTGATGTTGCTACCGGTGGTCGTGGTACGGGATGAAGAGTTTAAAACGCTCCACGGTAGTGGACATTATAGAGCTACCTCTTTCAGTGACCTCTGCTCCATACGGTAGAGGTCAGCAGTTTCCCACCCACTCTGCCACTGAGAGTAATGCTCATTGCGCTAAAGTCAGGCTAACATAACAATTCTCAGAGGTGGAATTTATCCAACTACTGTGCAGGACCAAATTCAACGGGGTGATTTTTTTGAGCAGTCATTGGTGGCCTTGCTGAGACCATCAGCTCACTCAACTCGAGAAGGCAGCTTAATTTCCGGCTGCTGCCTGGTATCGAACCCAGGATCTTGGCGGTGCCAGCTTGGCTCCCTGACATCTGAGCCGCCTTGGCCACCTCCTCAGCAGGTGATCCCTACGGTTTTTCCCGGCCCGATTCGGTGTTGCTGGGCTCACGGTCGGGCTGGTGGTGACAGTGCCTAGCTCTGTGTGCGCGCTGGACCATTTGCTTCCCCGTCTTTTTCCCTCGACTGTAATTCCACTCCTACTTTCGGCGTCGTATCGCAAGACGATCGCTTTTCATTTTGGAACTCTCCTGGCGAGCAATGCAGCATCCCGTGTCAGCCCCCAGAAGCCTGGTTCTCCCACGTTCATCATCCGCACGGCTGGATTCAGCCAAACCGAAAGACAAAAGATTCTTCGTAACAATTTTCCTTCCCCCTTCGGCCCTCGCCGACCATGCCGAGGCCATCAATCCGCTCCACTGGGAACCCCGGAGCAGTCGCGGGGGCGGCCACCTCGGATTTAAACCAAAGATTGTCGCCGGTGCCGGCTCGGCGCTCCCAACACGACATGAGCCCCCCCAGCCACCGGGCTGTCTCGGTGTCACCCACGTTGTGATTCCGCTCGAGAGGGCACACCCCCTCCCCTCTTTCGCTGGGCTCCTGCAATTCTCGCGGTTTGTTTTTTTGCTCCCCCAAGTGACCAGTTCTTCATCAACTTCTAACACTCCTTGTTCTTCGCTCGGACACCGAGCCTCACACGTTCCCTGTGAAGATTGGCTCCAGGATATCCATGCCATTCTTTCTCTACTCACTCACAACCGAATAATGTTAGCGGCAGTCGCAGCAGCCGCAGCCATGATCTCTCTACTGCTCGGTGAAGGCCTTCCCCGTCGCCATCTCTCACGGCCTCGCAGCAATCTGTTTAGCGGCTGCACAACGGGGCCAATTTTTATCGCTACGTCTCCGCGCCGGATGGCCTCGCGAGCGCATTTCTTTGAGTGAAATAAAAGTGGTTTTGGCCATTAATCGGAAACCTGGCTCGGCTTCGAGGATGTGAAAAGGTGTGCTCCTTTACCAATACTGTAAACCGTAGGGCAAATATGTAAATAGCTTAGGAACAAACACAGCTCTTCCCCTCGATGCTGCTTTTACATTTGAACTGTCAACCTTGTTTACTTTTGGTTTGAATAACTCGTTTATCAGGACCGCTCGCGCGAGCGGATAGCCGTATTCTAGTTATGCCGGTTCGTAGTACACCGCATGACGATCAAATACAAACCATCACGAAACGTGGCCACGATCCGAATCGAGTATCGAATGTCGTCTCGTCTTTACCGCTTCGTTTGTATCGCGTTTGCCGTCATGTTCTCGTTTGTGTGTGGTCGTGTTGGCGGCAAAATAATCATCGGGCCCCCCCCCCAAAGCTTGCTTATGTTTTCAATCATAGTCTCGGGTTTTCAACTGGACATTTTTAGTTGTTACACACATTAGTGTATCCTTTTTTATGGAGGAGGCCACTGTTAAATTAGTAAACGGGGCAGGTGGGTTCATTTGGCGGCCAGATCAATACGCAGGGAGACAGCCGTTGTCAGTCAGCAGTCAAGCAGGGATCGGTGGGCAAGTCAGCGGGGTCGCCAGGGTGGACAGGCGGTCAGGCAGCAAATGGGTTAAACGGTCTCCAAATGAGAATTCAAGTCACACCTTTGAATCAACAGCAATCATTTTGTTTCAAATCAGACACGGACCGATCTATGCGTCGGTTTATATACGTGTGCAGGTATTTATTTATTTATTATACGTGTGTTGTTTCTTTATTATATTTAGGATTGCTTTTTTTTGTAACCTCGAATCCTGAGCACCCAGCTGTAAAATTGTTGAAACAAACATCAATTTTAATTTATTGGAAAATGTCAACGCTTTGAAGTAAAAAAAATATATATATAAAAATCGATTTCCTTTGGCCACGTGCTCTGCGTGTGGTTTAGCTGCATGGGCCCGTGGTTACACGGACGTGTCACGATGTGTGGGGGGGGACGGGGGTGGGGGGCAGCGTGGAGACAGACGTCTTCATTTTTAAAACGTCTTCATTTTTTCTTTCTTTAACCCCGCGGGAACGACGGCGACGGGAGACGCGCGCGTCGCGCTATTTAATGAAGCGCGCGGGGACGCCATCGCATAACGGCCCTCGATTATTATTTTGGATGTGCTGCCACTGTGGCGTAGCGGGTCGGCGCGCTGGACTTGCCCATCCCAGAGGCCGCCGGTCAGGTTCGATCCCCTCGTCGTGGCAGTTGAATCGGCGGCGCACGATTGTTAAATGCCGCGGCCGGCTCGATCGAGCCGGCCGCGTAAATGGGTGTACGCCACGGATGGTCGATGGGTCGGTCGCGTGCGGTTCGTGTGATGCGCGGCTGCTCCCACCTGTGTTCCGAGACATCTGGCCAGCGTTGGAAGAGTAGGCCAAATACCGTTTGAGAGCTCCCTCGAGAGTCCTGCGTGGTTTGCGGGAACCGACGAGATCAGGCACATTGAAGGTGATTTTGGTCAAATGACAAATCAAAGTACGTGTTGATATTGTTTCTGCAGTGTATGAGCATTTATACAATACTGTACATTTACAGGCATAACATTGGTTAACCTTGTTTTATGGATAAACTGGCCTCTGCCATAGCAGTGTGGACTTTCTGCAGCCTTAGGGATGCTTTTGGTCATGAAGACCTTCCCGATGCCTGTTGGAGCACGGGGAACGACAATGATGATGACGATGATGCGTGACTGTTTTCATATTTAATACTTGGTGTAAATTCTGCACGAGACCTGCGAGTTACATCGTGTCGTTTTTCTCCTCAATTTAAGGACACGGTTGATCCCAAGTCAAACGTGGAATGCGCTACATAAGCCGTAAATAATATTTTCCCCTGCCAACCTTCCTAAACAAAACAAAAGGACGACTTATTCTTCGCCACGTTTGAGAGCTTCTTTAGGAGTCGGAAGCCTGGGCACTTGCCCGTCTTCCCTGCAGTAATGCACGGATCGGACTCATGACTGCATTGCAAAGAGCGCCAACTCAAGGTTCCTGAGACAGACCACATCAAGAGTGGGGAAAATCTACAGCTGGGCTGGGTGGTTCTGAGTTCAAATCAATGAGCCATCGTCACTGAGATCCTGAGTTCAAATCTGGGTTCCTGTCACCAAAGATTAAACCTTGGTTTCAATTGTAGCGAGTTGGTGGTCTCAGCCCTGTCACCGATGAGGGCAAAAGAAAAGTCAAGAACGTTCAGTGTTGTTTGCACTGTGATAAAGGTGCATATCCTAGTATGTGGTTGAAATAAGTCGGAGGGAGCTCAGATGTAGTTCTGTCATATTCGATTCTGCGGGACGTTCTAAAACAAACGAGGCTCTGCACTGCTCTGCAAGAGTTCAGAATAGCCGTTCAAGTCTCAAGTGACACCGATAGTAAAATCAGAACAACATTGTTCGTTCGTTTCTCAATCCGCTTGCCCTGGTGAGGGTCACGGTGGCAGCATGTTGAGTAGGGGCAGTCCCAGACCTCCCTTTCCCTGGCGACAAACTCGAACTCTTCCTTGGGAATTCCCAGGCGTTCCCAGGCCAGCCGAGCGAAATAGTCCTGCCAGCATGTCCTGGGCCCGCCCTGGGGTCTCCGTCCATAAAACTAAATGAAAACAGCCACAGATGACTGATAAGCTCAACTCCAATGCTGCTACTCTTGCACACAATGAGAAGCAAAGGAAGACCAGGACGAACCTTTACTTTTCCCAATGCAACCGAGCTGAGCTGGGGCTGTACCAAGCCAGTCCCGCGTAGCTCAGGAGCCAATACCATGTATTTTCCACTGCAGAACCGGAGCCGTGCCAGTGAAGTCACACACGTCGCATATTGAAGTGTACTGACGGAAGCAACGGTTAAAAACGAAAATTAATTAACGCCACCCCTTGCCCTGCTTGGCCTCGAGTTAAATGAAGGGTCGGCAGCCTGCAGCTCCAGAGCCGCGTGCGACTCTTCAAGGACTGCTTCGTGACGTCATTTATTAAGGACGCACCGCCTCGTACTCCGAGTGCATTGCCTCTCTTGAAATATTGAGGGTTTTTTCACTGAACTCTAATACAAATGGCTGCTCTTCTCGTTATTATATATTGGTTTGCCGACTCCTGAGCTCGATTCAGAAGCCTTGTGAGCCTTGCGAGTTTCACGGATCCGTTGAGGCTCGACTCGGCAAATAGCCAGTGGAAAGACGACCCGAACCGCCGGGGCCACCCACGCACCGTCATGGCCTGAGTGGGCCGGTGGGAAAGGGCGGTGTTGGACACGTTCAGCATGGTCGCTTGGATCGGAGCTGGATTTTGAACAGGAGACGGTCAACGTCAACATCACAGAAGGACGGGAAGCAGCGGGCAGCGTGCCCCATCTGGCTGTCTAACCTCCGGAATTGTAATTCGTCCTCGTGTTTGTAATCCGATGTGGAACTCCGAGGGCAAGATGCTCCATTACTTACGCATCGGACGGTGCTCATCTGTGTTGTTGATCCGGAGCCAGGAGTTGAAATTGCATGTTCCCTCCAGAAAGAGCCCCGCTCGCTCGCTCGCTCGCTCGCTCCGTAGTGAACACGAAGGCAGCCGGTGTTAACTAGCCAGGCAGCCGTGCAACAACCCACCCCTCCCAGCGACGCGATGAATCATCACGATTTAGGACCGCGCTTAAATTCATATTTTTCATTTTTAACCCTCTTGTTAATGTTGTTTCTCGGCATTTGGTTCATTGTTGTGCCCGTTTTATATGTTTACTGCATTGTTCCAAGCGTAACATCGATTTGGATAAACCCAAAGTAATTGATGCTTACGCGCACACAGTCCGATGCGTGTGATCGTGAGTGTACGAATGGCTTTGACTTGATGCGCTGTTGCACACCTATTGCCTTACTTGCGGTACAACGGTGGTGGTGGTGCACCGAGTCAACTTCGACCCAGAATTGAACTCGCAACCTGGCACTCGTGATGTGCCCGGCATTCCAGTGAATAAGCGCTCCGGGCGTCTATGTAGGCAGGAATATGTACCCGGTCCTGATCGCTTTAAACGCAGGCATTTGGCCTTGTCAGTGCCGATGCGAATTCAAATGTAAACACACGGGGACAGCAGGAGACCCGCGAGTGTGAGGTTTTTGGTTGCGTTGAGGATGGAGTGCTGCCCTCTCCAGGCCAAACGGAGCACAGTCCCCGCCCCCAGGAGCCAGTGTGGAATGAATCGTTGAACAATGGCGGCATTGGCGGCGGGGGTACAAAAACACAATTAACAGCAAACGTGAACGCACTCGTCGACAACGATGCCTTCAAAATAATATATTTTATACATGATATATGTAATCGGCAACGTTTCAGGCATTGGCCCTTCCGTGCCCTGTGAGCCATTGCCTGAAGGGCCATTGCCTGAAACGTCACCAATTTTCTTTTTTTCTTTTGAAGGCAGTGTTGTTGACAAGTTTGGTTGAGTTCTTTTAGTCGGGAATTTAAAATGTGCAACGCACCAACTGAGGAAAAATCGCTTTCCAAAATGTGTCCCACCTGTTTAAACATATCAATGACTCGACCTGGATGGGCATTGCAGCGACCAGCTCCCATCAGCGGTTCACCCTCGGCAAAAAAAAAAACACTGCGTGCAGTATAAACGAAAGCGTCGTTATCGTATTGTGACGAATGCGCGAATGCCTTCCGCATTAGTTGGGACAGCCTTGAAACCGCACGCACAAAAAGAGAGCTGTCCAAGTCAAAAGCTGGCGCTGCCACACCCGCGCAGGTTTGGCTTCTACCGATACATGAAGATGGACGCGCCAGAGCAGCGGCCGGGGCTCGCAGCTCAGCAGCCGCAGAGAAGGGACGGAGAAAACAACGGCAGCCTCTGGGAGGACCGGGGCTCGGACGGTGAGGCCCACGGCAGAGCCTGCGGCGTTCCGTTCCACCACGCGCTGCTTTCCCCACACGCGTGCCGTGCTCACACCCCCCAACCCCTGCCCCCCCCCGCGGGGGTATTTCTTACGAGCCACTTTGCGTCTCGGTCAGCTCTCGCCTCTGATTTGGAAGTTAAAATGAGCGATGTTCCCCCCCCCTTCCCTGGTGTTCAGCGCCACGAACTCAGCCCCACGAACTCAGCCCCACGAACTCAGCCCCACGAACATGTTGAAAGCTGTCCGATCAATCCTTTTAGCTCCAAGAAGCGTTCTCAATTTAATCTCGGGACTGCTTCTTCTTCCGTATGGTCTCCGCGCAGTCCCTCCAAGCAGATTCAATATGGTGGCGAGATGTTCACTACCTCGCCTGGTATACAGGACCTCGTGTATTTGATCCCCACCCTGACGATGCCTGCTGTGTATTTTAAGTTTGCATGTTTTCCTCCCCGTGCTCGCGTGGATTTTAATCCTGGTCCTCCAGTTTTTCCCTCCACATTTAGAATCAACATGCGTTTAGAGTATTTGTCTGCTATAAATTTCCACACTTGATAATAAGCCACTTCGTTGAGCTATCATTTGTGGCCAGGTCCACTTCTGGGAGCCCTATAGCTCAGTGGGGCTTACCTGGTAAAATATATATTTTTTATCATTTAGTTTTAGTTTATGATCGTTGTTCTCCCGCTTCTTGACCCCTGTCACCCTCAGCGCTGGACCCCAGGGACCAGTTCTACGATGACGACGGCGGCGGTGGCATTGGCGGTGGCGTTGGCATTGGCGGTGGCATTCACCCCGACGGTCTGCCCGACCGCGCCGCGAACGAAAACAACGAGGAGGAGGTGGACGAGGAGGAGTACGACGACGAGGAAGAGCAGGAGGAGGAGCCGCAGCAGCCGGAGCTGGCCCCGCCGGACCGCGTGCGCCGCCATGCGCCTCAGCACGGCGCGGTCGACGTGGAGAACGACGAGCGCGAGCCGGATCGACAGCACCGGCGAGAACGCGGGCGAGAGAACCGGCGAGAACGCGGGCGAGAGACCGGAAGGGAACGCGAGCCCACCGCGGGCCGGCCAGGCGCGGGGGGCGATCAACACCAGGCGGAGCAGCAGCACGCGCTCCCCCCTCGCAACCGCGCCTTCCCCGTGCAGTGGTTTGTCGCCAATCACGATGCCGGCGCCGTGCTGGGGGAGCCGGCCGCCGGGCCCCGTGCCGGCGTCACGGGCGGCAGACGCAGGAAGCACAAGAGGAGGAGGAGGCCCGAGCAGCCGGAAGTCCGGGAGGCGGGCCGCCGGGCGGAAGCGGCGGGGGCGGCGGTGGCGTGGCCGGCCGCGGACGAGGGGCGCGCCGGGCCGCGGCACAGGGACTACGGCGACGATTTTGACGACTACGCGTTCCAACGCCGGCGGAAGCTGTTCGGGCTGGACGGCAACCCGAGCCCCGCGGTGCCACGGGGAGCGGTGGAGAATGGGGGGGGCGGCGATGGGTTCGCTGCGCCCTCCGCTGCCGTGGTCGGAGAGTCGCGGCGTCGGTTCGGCGACGGCGGGGATGACGACGACGCCGCAGCCGCCGCTCGGCCTCGCGGCAAATCGCGAGATTTGCGGGAAGCGTTTCGCGGCGCGGGGAATGAATCCGTCGAAGCCGCGGCCGCCCTTCTCGCCTACAAGGAGGCACACAACGCAAAGAGGAGGCGCAAGAACGTGAGGAACCAGAGGGACGCGAGGGAAGACGGTCACGGTTTGGCCGCCGCAGCCCAAGGAGGGGATGGTGTGGTGGTGAAGGACGTTGCCGACGGCGAAGTGGCAATCGGTGATAAGAAGCGTCGGCCTTCAAAACGGCGCGGTCTCGCCCGGCAAGGAGGAGCGAACGACGTGGATCAAAAGCAGAAGGTGGCGGTGGACCTCCCCCTCGTCAATGCCGGGGGAGTCGGCAAGAACGCTTCCCGCGAAATACCCACGGGGGCCCCCGTCCCCACCAAAAGCAACGTCGTGGCGGGGCGCATCCGAGACGCGGATGACGCCGCGGGGGCAGCAGCGGCGAAGGTCGGCGAGGCGCCGGAGAAGAACGGCACGCGACCGCCGCAGAGTGCCAACGCCACCGACGGCGCCGTCAAACCCGCCGCCTCCCAGGCCCCCGCACCGTCGAGATCCACCACGCCCCCCACGCGCGCTGCCGACGAGGAGCCACGTAGGAACGAGGCCAGCTCGCGGACGAAGGCCAAACGGAAGCGGGATCGCAACGGCGACCGCAGGTCGGAGGTCATCTTCGCGAACCACGCGGGCCGCGGCCAGGAACGTGGGCGCGGTCCGGGTGACAAGGCGGCAGCCGCACCGGGAAACAACAACAACGACGACAACGACAACAACCGCGGCTCGCGGGTCGAGAAAAACGGGTACGAAGCCTCCCCAGGCAATCGTGGGGTCCAGCGCGGGACGACCGAGTCGCAGAGGGGCTACCCCCGTGGCGACCGGGGCCGGGGCGGCGTCGAGCCGCTCGTAGCGGCCGGGGACGACGGAGACGCCGCCGCCGGCAGGAACGAGGGGCCGTGGAACTCGCTGTCGTCCTTTGACCCGAACGACGACGGCGACGACGCGCGGGTCGGCGCCGGAGCGGTCGAGGACAACGGCGGGAGGGCCGACGACCTAGGCCGCGGGATCAGGGACGGGCGCAGGCGCCGGGGGCGCGCAGGAGGGCGCGGGGGCCGCGGCGGGGGGCGCGGAAAGTGGAGCTGGGCCGTGGAGGAGGAAGAGGAGGCGGACTGGAAGCGCACCTTCAGCATCGGCGAGACCGACTTCCAGTTCCTGCGCTCTGACTGGATCGACCTGCGCTGCAACGTGTCGGGCAACCTGCGGCTGAGAGAGGAGGAGGCCCAGGCTGTGGCGAACGTCATGATGGAGAACCTGGGCCGGGTGCATCCCGAGTGAGTGCGCGCGTGTTCACAAAGACAAAGATCCCCCCCGGCCCCGTGTAGCCGTTAAAGACTGTTGGGGCAGGTGCGGTTTGTGAGCACCTACGAAGGCCGGCATGGCACACAAGGGGGTGGGTGGCCAGCACCATGCCCGACCGCCTTTGTCTCCCCAGTAGCGATGTTTACACCGCACCAGGTACTCATTTGAGGATGAGTCGGCCGAGGGGGGAGGCCCGGAACCGGTTCAGATAATCGTCACTGGTGTTGGCCGTGAGCAGAAATCGAACTCGGGTCGCCGGGTTCATTGAAAACCGCGCCAAACTGCGACACTTCCGCTCCCCGCACACTTGAGATGAACATTACTGTCAGGAGTAGAGTGAGTGGGAAAGTGCTACCCGCTCCTGTGTGGATCAGAGGTCGCCCTATGACATCCCCTTCCAATGGGGCGTTCCGCCACACTGACCTGCGAGAGGTGTTAAGTGACACCTGGCCCCGTGACATAACGCCAATACCACAATCGGGATGCTCAAAAAAATGTTGAACCCAAACCCTCGGCTTTGCCGATTCGGTGCCCCGACCTCGGAGCCGGCTCAGCCACCGTAAAAAATGTCCAGCATCCCGGGTGATTTGGTGATTCTTCTTCACGGGATTTACCTGCACCCCATCCCACTCCTCCCCCCTCCCCCCATGCGCAGCCTGTACGAGCTGCGCCGCGTGGTCAACGCAGAGAAGCGCCGCGACCGCGTCAAGGGCAACCGCTACCTCCTGGAGCTGGAGCTGCTGCACCGTCCGTCGGGGCGGCTGGCGCGCCTCTCCCAATACGTCTTCGCCCCGCTGCCGGCGCGCACCTCGGGCCAGGTCGCCGACGGCGGCGGCGGCGGTGCCGGCGCCGGCGCCGCCAACGCGCCGGCGCTCTCGCTGTGCCTGCCGCGGGGCTTCGCGTGGAAGCCGGATGTGATGGTCTACTTCGTCGTGCCCGGTGAGGGACGCGCGGGGGTGCCAGCGCGCTGTGCAAAACGCGGTTTGGTTTTTCTCTACTACCGCCGGGCAAATCGATGGGTTTATACTCGAAACCGCGGTTGGAAAAGCCCGTGGTGGGCGAGGGATTGCTGCATGCGTCTACGGAATATGATTATTGTGAGCTCCTCTGGGACCTCTCCAACCTCCTGTTGAGCAGTGGGCACAGCAGGTGGCAGCATTCGTCTTTGACGGGAGCAAAAACCGAAGTAGCTTATGTAGCTCCCTCTCTCTCTTTCCACGAGGGTGTGGCCTCCTCCTCCACCTCGTCCGTTGCCGTGTAGTCTCTTGACTGAAACCTCACAATGCCTCTTGGGAACAATCGGGGAAACATTGTACAGTACAACAAATAAACCGGTTTCAAGGAATGGGTCGTCTCTCGGACCACTCTGCATCCCGACTTTCTATATGCTGAGCTGGTAGCCCCGAGATCCTGTGTTGGATTCCAGGCAGCCACCTGTCATTAAACCGGTTTGTCAGATGGAGAAAGTTGATGATCTCAGCCCAGTCTACAGTGACTGCACACACACACACAAAACCCCTCATCACGTTCCGTTCGGGCGAACACCTAATTTGGATAAATTCCAACACTAAGAATAAAAATAAATATCAGTTACAATCTCACGCGATGAACATTACTCTCAGGGACGGCGTGTTGGAAAGTGCTTTGTTGACTAGAGGTCACATTGAGGGGGCCTCGGAGCTATTTCTGTGATCTCTGCTTCTGGGGGTCATTCTCGAACATTAAAGTTTGCAATTAGTTGAAAATGTTTTATCGTCTCACGGACATGACCCTTCAAGAAGAATCATGGAAAAAAGGCAAAGGAAGAGCGAGCTGACAATCCAGTCCACGGATGGAGCCTTCACTCCTGCTTTAGGGGGTTTGTCCATACACAGAAACGTGCATGTGGGAAGGAACACACAAACGGAGGAAGACACTCGCATTCTAACTCGCACAAATCCCTCGTGCTGTTACGAATCTGAATGTAATTTTGTCATTTATTAAGTTAGTTTATACAGATGTTGACTGCAATGCTGCGCTGTGCTTGACCTGCCCGTCGCGCGCGTCCATGCAGTGAAGAACCAGGGCCGCTGGGTGCAGCAGTTCATCTGGGACATGGAGGCGCTGCACCGCGCCACGGGCGACCAGCGCTTCGGCGTCGTCATCGCCGACTACTCCAGCGAGGACATGGACGTGGAGAAAGCCCTGCTGCGCAGCTCCCTCCCCCGGTGGGCGTCCTCACTTCCTCATCATCCACCTCATTCTGCTACCCATACTCATCCTCACTCCCTCCATCCTCATTCACGTCCTGCTCACCCTTCTCATCCTCCTCCACGTGCATCCTTTTCCCGCACCTCCGATTAGCACAGTTTGCTACGTACGGTGCTAAAGATGTTCAACATACAAACATCCTCCACCACCCCCCACATCCTCCTCCAAGTGCTCCTCCACCATCCTCCATTTCCTCATTCTCCTCGTCCTCCTCTTTCTCCTCTTCACTCACCACCATCTCCTCCTGCCTCTTGCTCCTTTTCCTCCCCCTTCCCCATCATCCTCCTCCTCTGCTCTTCAGCCACTCAACACTGCTTGAAGAATCAGGGATGGCGACCTAATGTCCCCTTCAGTTCAGGGGACGTTAGGGAAGCGTTCTTACCGAAGTGTCGCTCTTTCCATCCATGGTCACCATGCCCTGACTGAACATTACTCCTGCTGCAAAAGAGTCAGGAGATGGGAGTCCAACGGCGGAATGTTGAATCCATCTGTATGGAGTTTTGAGCGTCACCACCTCCCGTGCATAGGTTTTCTCCAGTTTACTTCCGCATGCAAAACGGTCAAGAAAATCGGTCGAATAAAATCCCGATTTGTGACCCTCATACAAAGAGTCTTGAGACGCAATGAGGCTTTTCGGTATACAGGGCTGAGCGGTATGTTACAGTACGTGGAGTGATACAGTAACGCGGCGGCATACACTCACTCATTTTACCCGCCATCTCGCTGGTTGTGCGTAGTAGTGGTACATCGTATCTCGACAAACTTTATCGTTACATTGTTTGCGTGCAAATTGTTTTTCGCTTAACACGGCATTTTTCGGGAACGCATCTACCACTGCCGCTTCGTTAAATGAGGACCTGCGGTACTGTCCTTCCCCCCGCACCTCCATTTAGCACGGTTGGCTATGTACGGTGCAAAAGACGTTCAGCATACATGCAACATACATACTATCTTTCCCGTTTCCACCCCTGCTCCCGTGCCCCAGGTATCACTACGTGAAGCTGCAAGGGAACTTTGAGCGATCGGCCGGCCTGCAAGCCGGAGTCGACGTCATCAAGGTAGACACGCGTGGCCGTGAGCACCTGACATCGCCTCCGGGCGAGGTGGCCTGGGTTCGCGTCCAGGCTTCACCCACCCGTGGTTAGACCCGGGTTCTCAACTGCAGTGAGTTGATGATCTCAGCCCGGTTACTGCTAATTGCTCAAAACAAACAAAAAATACTACCAAATTTGTTTCTGCACTCAATTTGCCCAAATTCCAACGCTGAGATCAAAAATATCGCTTTGACTGTCACATGACAAACATTGCTCCCGTATGCAGAACAGGCAACGTCATGTAAGCGAGCTCAGGAGTGGGTCTGCGGTGTCCACTTCAAATGGGCCCGTTCTGGAACGCGCGTGGACGGCCCGTCTCACTCGTGACGCGATCCCGATAGCGTCGTCGGAACAAATTGGTGAAACGCGACAGTAGCCACAGTGCCATTGGTGCAGAGCGCGAGCCAATCGCTTGCTCGGCACCACCAAAGAGCTGCAGGTAAGAGCGAGCAGGTCACGAACTTCCCCGGCCGATGAATTCCTCCGAATCCACGGGTTCCCTACGTGTACCTCACCCGGTCGGCAAAATAAAACCAGCAACTTGTGTGCGTCACGGTAACGTGTGCGGCGCTCGCCCCCGGGGACGTTTGGAGACGTTTGGAGACGTTGGGAGACGTTGGGGAGACATTAGAGACCCTCCCCCCACCGCCCCCGCCCCCCGTGGCACTTTCACAGAAGCCGGTTTGCGCCCGCGTCGTCATCGCGGTCGGATTCCAAGCCGCAATTAAAAATAGACCAAGCGAAACGCCCTGTGTGTAGGTAACACAGCGGGCACGCCTGGCTGGAGGCACCTGTAAACTCAGCGCCGCAATCGCATCAGTGCGGTGCAGATAGCCGCTGTCTAAGTGGCGGTGGGCATATTGTTGGTGATCGAGCCTGACTGGCTGCGTTGTTTATGTGTGTGTGTGCACGTAGGTGCTTCTGCCCGTCTGTGCGCTGTGCGTGTGTATCATTGATGGATGTTCGGGCGTCTGTGTGCGACATGCAAAGGCTGCATTCCATCAGCTACACTCGTGCAATGTGTACGGGGGCAAGGCATACCGCTCCTCCCGATGCCCATAATAAAGAAAAATCGAGAGTTCAGCTTGCGTGACAGGTTTGTTTAATCGCCTTAAAAAGAGGTGAAAGTGGAAAAATGTTTAAATAAACCCCACACAGGACGAGGTTTGGTTGCGCTTGTTCCAGACTGCTGCGGTGCAAGTGCGTTTCGAATCCTCCGGCTCGTCTTCACCTTCAAGTTAAAGGTTGCTTGGCAACCGTGGGCACATCTGCTTGGCACGTGTGTACGTGCGACGTCGTTAAACGTTTTTTGTAGAACTGAAGAAAGAGAGGAACGGGGAAGGTGTGCTGTGGGGCGGGAGCAGAGGTTGTTTTAAATTACCTCAGCAGTTTTCTTTCTTTCAGTTGCCGTAATTTATTTTATTGCTTTGGTGGGATGGAGAAGGAGTTCCTGTGACCCCGATGCGAGCGCCTCATCACGCCACGCCCTAGACATTCCCCAAGCCCCGCCGGCCGCCGGCTTGAGCCTCTCGGGTTTCTCCGCATTGTTCCTCCTTGAGTCGGTCGCGCCAGACGCAATCCGCGATGCGATTTAAAACTTAAAAACTAAACTTTTAGCGTTCTCTTTCGGGCTTTCAGTCAAGTCACGTAAATAGAAATAATAGATCACGACGTTTCGATCGCCTGAAGACGATTGCTTGTGTTGCGATCGAAACGTCGCGATCTTTTATTTATGTTTACGTGACTTGACCGAAAGGCCGAAAGAGTATGAATTCCTGCAGTCACGATAGCTTTAAATCAAGATTTAAACTTTTAGCATCGTTTAAGACTTTAGCGACTAAACTAAACTATTTTATTTATCAGGTAAAGCCCATTGAGCTATGAGCTCTTATTCCGAAGCGACCTGGCTATCACAAATGATGGCTCAACGACAGTGGTCGCTTATCACGTGGAAATCCATAGCAGCAGCGAAATACTCTAAACGCGTGGCGATGTTGCTTCTAAATGCGGAGGGGAAAAAACTGGAGGACCCGGAGAAAAATCCACGCGACCACAGCGAGAGAGAGACGCGCAAACTCCAAATATACAGCAGCAGGCGTCAGGGTCAGGATCGCATCCACGACCTCCTGTATACCGGGTGAGGTAGCTAACATCTCGCCACCGCAGCGCATAAGAACGTCTGACGACCGAACAGCAGTGCGAGCGATAGAGGGCAGCAGCAACACAGCACACCCCATTCTTCAGTCGCGTGAAAGGAAAGGTTATTCAATTAGCGAGTGGACGGAGGAGGACAGGGGACTGGGGGGTGGGGGGAGCACGTTTTTTGAATTCGTGCAGGGAGGTCGAGTGGATTTACGTGGATTTGAGTCGAAGGTTTAGAGGCAGTAAATCCAGTTTCTGTGGAATTCGATTGGGTGGTGGGAAATGTGGCTGACCGTTCTGCCTCTTCTGTGGCTTTCTACCCGTGTTGTTGTACATCAGATTTTCAATCGGCTTGTTTGAGTGTTATCCCCTCCGATGCGTGGGTGTTCTTCGAGTGTTTGCGAAACCTCGCTCTTGGCAAAAACACTCTCTGTGGTGTCAACTGTGCCAAGATGATGACGACGACGATGATGACGATTATGATGATGAGGACGATGATGATGATGTTGACGACGACGATGTGGCTGTGCCAGTAGACGTCCGGCTCGACCCCCACAACGTTCCGTGGTGACCACATTAATCGCAGCGCCGCTCCTGACGTCAGCGGTGAAATCGGTGGCAGTGGGCGGCGGCGGCACAGCCGCACGCCATTATAGCGGCAGCCGGTGATCCTACCCCGGCAGGCCCGCGTAATGCGCCGATCCCCGTAATTACCGCGACTTAGCCGTGGTTGAGGTTAAGTTCTGGGACCGCGCCCCTCAACTCTTCCGTGTTGCAGCTTTAGCCGGGCGTGGCAGCGCATGCCCAGAAGTTGGTGGATTTGCCCAGAAACGATCACGTCCCATCGAGGTGGTGGTGGGGGGGGGGGCCGAGCCCTTGGTGCTGGGTCGTTTGGTGGGAACGCTCGACGTCTGGGGAATACCGGATGGTGTCAGCGCGGGGAATGCAAGGAGATGGCGGTGCAAGCAATGGGCACGCGAAACCGCCTGTGCGAGGCGTCGAGTGTTGCCCGCCCGTACGAGAGTCGGTTTTGTACTCTGGTTTTGTCCCACTTGAAGCCTCACGCTTATTAATAGCATTGGCCAAACACCCCGAGGCAGTACGCTCAGGAAAAGCAGCATTGAGACTCATTGAGGCTTTCTTGGATAGAGGAATAATTATCTCAGCGTGAAATATTTGTGATCGCTTAGTTGGCGGCACATCCCTCCGACGTGTGTTTGAGTTTAAGACCCGTGTGTTGTTTGGCATGATGTCCGACGTTTCGCTCCGCGTGCTGAAAGCATCTTCAGGAATTGGATCCAGCAGCAGTAGGCAAACGCTATTTACAGGGACTCTTCTACTTACGAACGAGTTAGGTTCCAGAGGTGTTTGTTCGTACGTCGATTTGTTCGTAAATCGAACGTTACTCCTGTCGATTCCAAACACGTACGGCATGTACACTAAACACGGGGAATGGCTTTAAGAGTTGTATCATCTCCTGTAGATGTAAATGCCACTGGTTCTGCATGTTCTGCAGATGTAGATGCCACCACCACCGTCTATTGCGCGGCGGTTGAACTGACGACTCTCGGTCTGGACAGGCAACTGGACATACCGACAGGTTTGTTCGTATCTCTGAAAGTTCGTAAGTCGAATGTTCGTAAGTAGAGGAGTCCCTGGAATCGAGCACATGCGACGAAACCTCGAGCGTCGGGCCGACGAGCACGCGCTACAATCCGAAAACACCGCGCTGAGCTGCGCACAGCGCGATACGCAATAAAGCCATTACCTCTGTAATGGCACAGTTATGTTAATTTGGCGGAGCAGCGGAACGTTGCTTAAACTGGCCGACACGTCGCGAGAATTAGACTATGATGTCATTTTGGCGCAGGGGCTTACGGCCTGTGAGGCAGCGCATTTTAGATATTTACTGAAATGCGCTGCACATGGGCTCTTGGTTGAAAGTAAAGGATATTTTGACCCATGTAGGTAAGCCTATAATTGTTATTACTATTAATTATTATTTTTACCAGTCTCACCCGCCCGTTAGCAGTGCGCCAGAATAATTTTGCGCCGGCCGTGAACGCCGAATTAAAATAAAATTGCTCGTCGCAATTATCGTGGGATTATCCCTTAATGTGCCGATGATGGCATTATCATTAGGGTAATGGGCCGCTTGTTTCATCTGTGTACGCGCGTGCGTGCACCGAGAGGCTCTCGGAGCAGCCATCGCCCACTCTTCTCTCCTCACCGAGCCACCGTCATCGCCAGCGAAACACCCTTCTCTGTGTGTAATCCATCGCTAACGGCTTACATCAGGTTAATGAATGTATCTGCGATTACCGTGGCGTAAGTTGCGACACAGAGAGTCGCGTACGTCGCCGCGGCCTGGTGACAGGCTCGTGTCGGCCATCTTGAGGTTCTGCCACCCCGCCGTGTCACCCCGAGAGGCCTGGTCGCCAAGGGCTCGTGCCGGTTTCTCAGCTGTTGTGGAGTTTAAGCGATTGTGTTTCGAAGATAATGAACGTTGTTATTGTGCAGCTTCTTGAGATGCGGACACAGTTATGCACATTGTCACTCCACATTTATGACTTTGTCGTATTTGCATTTCCTAAAAAAACATATTTTCGTAATGAACTGTAAGTAGAGTTGAGCGTGGATCATAGCACTTGCATGGGTAACCACCGTGCAATACAGGTTGCTCAAGTTTTGCAGGGATATCTGGTGGGCAGCAGAAGACAGCGGAGCAACATCAGTTGTTCTACTTATATTTTGCCAAACACACACCACTCGTTAATTGCAGTGGCCAAACTTCCCAACACACCACCCTCCTGAAACTCAATGAATTGCACATCGAGTCTTGAGTCTTGAGACTCGATGTGCATCTCCTTGCTATAATCGCCTCATCATTACAATGAACCCACACTCGAAGGTCTGCTGTGTACCGATAATAATCTTCAGGTCTTCATCAATCCATTACTGTACGAATGCCGTATCGGTCACGGGAATTGTTTCAGCCCGTGCATATTTTATATCGATCTCCACGTGATGTTGATATTCCTGGCAGTATCTTACTTGCATGGACGATGATGCGTTGACTGTGGCTTGCGTGGTGCGTGCGTGTGTGCATGTCGCTGGCAGGACCCGCACAGCATCACCTTCCTGTGCGACCTCCACCTGAGCTTCCCGCACGACATCGTGGACAACATCCGCAAGCACTGCGTTGAGGGCCACATGGCGTACGCGCCCATCGTCATGCGCCTGGCGTGCGGGAAGTCTGCCCGCGAGCCCGACGGTGAGAGAGCCGGGCAAAGCGTGGGGGGCTGGCACACGGACAAACGAGAGAGACAGATGCCTTACGACTGGGAGAGTTGGCGTGCGCACAAGCGCACGAGCGAGCGGGCGAGCGAGTGCGTGATCAAGAGGATTGGCAAGAACTGAGCTGGTCGGTTGGTAGGCTTGCAAGCGAGCTGGCTGGTTGGCAAGCAAGCGAACGGGTTAGTTTATGGACAAGTGAGAAACCTAGCGAATGGGTGAACATGTGATCATGCTGAAAGTAAGTCAACAGTCCAGTGAATGAGCTGGTGGATGAATGCGTGAGTATTAAGCAGGCTGGTGAGTTGGCTGGTGGGAGCAAGAGTGAGCGAGCAAATGGGCGACCAAGGGAACGGGCAGCTAGGCAACGGAGTTCGGCGATCGGGCGGGCTATTGGTCCATCAAGCGAGTGAGGTGACTGGGATGATAGGCAGGTGAGCGAGTGAGCGAGCGGTCAATCACGAGCGTGGTGCAAGGGGCAATCAAAAACTCTTTGAGAACAAAACGCGAGGCGGGGCGTGGGGGCGGACTGACACCATCTTACGCCGCTCTTCCACATATCTGGCCCGCCCGCACCCACTGCCCTGCTGCCAAACAGCGGCCGCAGCTCCCGATTCGGGCGTAGATGCTGGCAGCGGCCAATTTGGGATGCGGGGCAGCGCGACCGTTTTCGTTAAAAGTGAGCGCGCGAGAGTCGGCCGGCCGACTGGCCGGCACCCAATCGGGGAGCTACCGGGGAGTTTGGAGGAAAGCACGGAGCTCACTGGGAGAGAGCACGGAGCTCGGTTGGGGAGAGCGCGGAGCTCGGTTGGGGAGAGCGCGGAGCTCACTGGGAGAGAGCGCGGAGTTTGGTTGGGGAGAGCACGGAGCTCGGTTGGGGAGAGCGCGGAGCTTACTGGGGGAGAGCTCGGAGCTCACTGGGGGAAAGCACGGAGCTCGGTTGGGGAGAGCACGGAGCTCGGTTGGGGAGAGCGCGGAGCTCACTGGGGGAGAGCGCGGAGCTCAGTTGGGGAGAGCGCGGAGCTCACTGGGGGAGAGCACGGAGCTCACTGGGGGAGAGCACGGAGCTCACTGGGGGAGAGCGCGGAGCTCACTGGGGGAGAGCACGGAGCTCGGTTGGGGAGAGCGCGGAGCTCGGTTGGGGAGAGCGCGGAGCTCACTGGGGGAGAGCACGGAGCTCACTGGGGGAGAGTGCGGAGTTTGGTTGGGGAGAGCACGGAGCTCACTGGGGGAGAGCACGGAGCTCACTGGGGGAGTGCGCGGAGCTCACTGGGGGAGAGCGCGGAGCTCACTGGGGGAGAGCGCGGAGCTCACTGGGGGAGAGCACGGAGCTCACTGGGGGAGAGCATGGAGCTCACTGGGGGAGAGCACGGAGCTCACTGGGGGAGAGCGCGGAGCTCACTGGGGGAGAGCACGGAGCTCGGTTGGGGAGAGCGCGGAGCTCGGTTGTGGAGAGCGCGGAGCTCACTGGGGGAGAGCACGGAGCTCACTGGGGGAGAGTGCGGAGTTTGGTTGGGGAGAGCACGGAGCTCACTGGGGGAGAGCACGGAGCTCGGTTGGGGAGAGCACGGAGCTCGGTTGGGGAGAGCGCGGAGCTCGGTTGGGGAGAGCGCGGAGCTCACTGGGGGAGAGCACGGAGCTCACTGGGGGAGAGTGCGGAGTTTGGTTGGGGAGAGCACGGAGCTCACTGGGGGAGAGCACGGAGCTCACTGGGGGAGTGCGCGGAGCTCACTGGGGGAGAGCGCGGAGCTCACTGGGGGAGAGCGCGGAGCTCACTGGGGGAGAGCACGGAGCTCACTGGGGGAGAGCACGGAGCTCACTGGGGGAGAGCACGGAGCTCACTGGGGGAGAGCGCGGAGCTCACTGGGGGAGAGCACGGAGCTCGGTTGGGGAGAGCGCGGAGCTCGGTTGAGGAGAGCGCGGAGCTCACTGGGGGAGAGCACGGAGCTCACTGGGGGAGAGTGCGGAGTTTGGTTGGGGAGAGCACGGAGCTCACTGGGGGAGAGCACGGAGCTCACTGGGGGAGTGCGCGGAGCTCACTGGGGGAGAGCGCGGAGCTCACTGGGGGAGAGCGCGGAGCTCACTGGGGGGAGAGCACGGAGCTCACTGGGGGAGAGCACGGAGCTCACTGGGGGGAGAGCGCGGAGCTCACTGGGGGAGAGCACGGAGCTCACTGGGGGAGAGCACGGAGCTCACTGGGGGAGAGCACGGAGCTCTGTTTGCGTCCGGGGCTGAGCCTAGTGTGTGCTCGTTAACCGTCGTCTAGACCGGACTGCGCTGGCACGCGATTGCTCATCCGATCGATGAGGCAATAGCACACCGAGAGCTCAAAGCGGTGACACGCTCAAGGCGTGGTAACGACGCGTCGATTAGTCACATTGTAATTTCAGCTAACATCACTGCTGTACATTTAACTGTGACCCCAGGTCATGTTTGGAGCTTGGTGGGACTGCGGGTTGGTGGGGGGGTGGCATGAATGGTTACCTGCTCATTTAGCGGGGTGATTTTAGAGGGGTGAAAGTGGTTTAGCCAGTGGAGCGGTGGTGCAGTGTGGTTAGCACACTGCACTATGAACAAAAGCGGGCGTGAGTGTGAATCACGGCCAGTGGCAAGTGATATCCGAGTCATTCTTGGGCGTCCTCCGCCCCCTTTCACCGACTTCGCTCTGACCAGCTTTGGCGAAGTATGGCCCAACAATCCCGTGACCAGCAAGGTGTGGGGAAGTCTTCATCCCACAGTGGATTGACAAAGTAACAGAACAGATGCAACCGTTGTCATCTTAAAGTCTAATTCCATGGTTGAAACAAGGATTGTCGCGTGTACACATGGATTCTGTTTACTGTTTAACACCACTTTCTACCAATGCACCCCTCTGAACCTTCACCCCACTTCCCTCTACGTGCCCCCCCCCCCTCCCCCCCGCTGTATCCATGGCTCTTGCCTGTCCCCCCCACCCTCCCCCGACCGTAATGCCGAACAGGCTACTGGGAAGTCAACGGCTTTGGGCTCTTTGGGATCTACAAGTCGGACTTCGATGGAATCGGGGGGATGAACACGCAGGAATTCCGCGACCACTGGGGCGGCGAGGATTGGGAGCTGCTGGACAGGTGCGGACGTTACCCCTCGCATGGCAATTAAACACGCGCACGAGTACGCACACTCGCTCGGATAGACGCACGCACGCACGCTGGGGAACGGTAAGTAGCCACGCACGTTCATGGCACAGGAGCTCTGATGTCCTTTTGGCCAGCCTGCTCCTATCCGAAGAGAAGGGGCTTCAAGTAGGGGACCCAAGTCGTTTCGTGGGCGGTGCTTATCTCTCAACTTCACGGCCTTCCCGAGCCAGTGTTGTGTGAAATCCAACATTCGTACGGTTGAAAGCGAGTCGTCCGCTGACGTCCACCAACAGGGAATTTTGAAACTCGCAACCTCGCCGCTTGCTCCGACTGCTACGCACGTAACGATTCGACCCGCGAGCGGTGCGGGGGTCATTATTCAAATCGAGATGAGGTTTGTCGAAATATTTTGCCGTTAATTGTAGCGCTTCCAGTGGCTTCCCAGGGGGTCATGTAAACCCGTTGTGTACAGCGTATGCGAATCGAACGGCGTCGATTTCCTGCTCGAAGCAATTTGACGCACGTACCGTAAGCCTAAGATTGTTTTAATTGAGCAGGCAGGTTAATTCAGGAACGCCCATGAGATTATTTGCTTCTTGGAGGAGTTAATTAATTAATTGTTGGAGGCACTCGCACTTTTTTTTTCTTATCCGGGAAGATATTTGCGGCGTGCAAGGACACGGGCGAGGTGTAATGCTTCGCAGCCACCTACGTGACTCACTCACTTTTTACCAACCGCAACTTTATTATTATTTTCATCATCATCATCATCCCAATCATCGTGAGCAACCACACCCTTGCAAGCCTCAATGAACAATGAGACCACTCTTCTTCTTCTTTGGTTCTTTCGGTAAAGTCACGTAGAATGAGAATAAAATAATAAATTGATAAAATAAAATAACACAATAATATTCTCACGACGTTTCGGCCACAACACAAGCGGCCTTCATCAGGTGAAGGGAGCGAGACTGTCTGGTAGGACAGCGCTGGAGTGAGAGAGCCACGTTCAGATCACGGCTTTTAAGCTGTGTGAGAGGAACAAAGAGCCTTGACGAAGGAATTAGCATAAAATTTAGCATTGAAATGGCTGAATGATTAGCTTGTGACTGGTCACAGAAATAGCTATGTTAAAAGTTAAAGCATACACATCCGCAGAGGCACCCATTGTTAAAAGGAATTAGCATAGAATTTAGCATTGAAATAGCTAAATTAAGGCATTCGCTTGTAACTGCTACAGAAATAGTTACGTTGAAGTCAGAGCATACACATTCACCGAGGCACTTAGTACAAATCAAAACAGGAGAATTTAGCATTGAAATAACTAGGCGAATTTAGCATTGAAATAACTGGGTGATTTGCTAGTGACTGGTCACAGAAATGACTACACATCTGAGCTATTCACAGTACTATATAGTGAACCAATAAAAACTAAAATATAAATTACCTTCATGTTATCAATAAACTCTATATTCTCCAATCAGCTAAGCTACCAACCATAAGTCGTTATATATCACAATGCTATATGGCGAAAAAATGGGTGGATTCTTACCCTCAAATTTCCGTACCACGGATAGCTACGGGCCCCGTTCAGACGGACGAGTTCGTCCATGGTCGGAACAGAGGAGGGGGAGAGAGACAGCTGCGAAGCCCTAGTATACTCCATGTTGTAAACCATACCATTAACCGTGGTGTGAGAGGTATTAAGAGGCAATGCTGGCGAAAGAGCTGCGGTCTGAAGGTCATCGTAAAATTACAATTAATTAAGAACAGAAATGATTTAACACATCTTTCCAGTGGTTACTAAGCCTGAATCCATCTTCTCGGTTGAAATTGTCTCTGTGCTTGTATATGTGAATGGCCTCATGAACGAATCTCTCATGGTAGCCAGTTGGTTTGCAAAGAACCTCCGTCTTGGAGAAGTCAATGTCATGTGAGCCCACTGAATTGTAACAGTGATCTGCCACGGCAGAGGAGTTCGTTTTACCGTGTTTCAAGTCTGCTTTATGTTCGCGGATGCGGTCCGAGATATGTCTTTTGGTTTCTCCAATGTAGCTACTGCCACAGAGGCACTTTAGTTTGTAAACGCCCGGGTACTGTATGTCTGGAAGAGCATCTTTTAGAGATGGAACTAAATCACGGATTTTGTGTACTGTGTTGAATCGGACCTGGATCTTGTGTTTATTCAGGATTTTGGAGATCTTTTTAGTGACCCCTGCAATGTAGGGTAAGGTGATGGTTTTGAGTGGCTCCACAAGAGGATCCTTCTTCATGACTGGAGTGATGGCTTTGCGGATTGTGTAGTCGGAGTAGCCATTAGCCCTGAGAGCCTGGTGTACGTGCTTGAGTTCACTGGTAATGTGTTCCTGGTCGGAAATGCATTGGGCTCTATGGTATAGAGTCTTGATGAGGCAGTTCTTCTGGGATGGATGGTGGTGGGAATCCGGTTTCAAGTATATAGTACTGTGAATAGCTCAGATGTGTAGTCATTTCTGTGACCAGTCACTAGCAAATCACCCAGTTATTTCAATGCTAAATTCGCCTAGTTATTTCAATGCTAAATTCTCCTGTTTTGATTTGTACTAAGTGCCTCGGTGAATGTGTATGCTCTGACTTCAACGTAACTATTTCTGTAGCAGTTACAAGCGAATGCCTTAATTTAGCTATTTCAATGCTAAATTCTATGCTAATTCCTTTTAACAATGGGTGCCTCTGCGGATGTGTATGCTTTAACTTTTAACATAGCTATTTCTGTGACCAGTCACAAGCTAATCATTCAGCCATTTCAATGCTAAATTTTATGCTAATTCCTTCGTCAAGGCTCTTTGTTCCTCTCACACAGCTTAAAAGCCGTGATCTGAACGTGGCTCTCTCACTCCAGCGCTGTCCTACCAGACAGTCTCGCTCCCTTCACCTGATGAAGGCCGCTTGTGTTGTGGCCGAAACGTCGTGAGAATATTATTATTTTATTTTATCAATTTATTATTTTATTCTCATTCTACGTGACTTTACCGAAAGAACCAAAGAAGATGAATCATTGCAGTCACGAAAGCTTTAAATCGAGACCACTCTTATCCATCACCGAGCCTATCAGTCAGTAAATAGTGTACGAGTTGAACGCCCGTCTACATTTAGGGCCTGAGGAGCGAATCACCCAGAATTCGCTTCAACCTCATCACATTGCAGAAGCTAAGCAGGGTTGAACCCAGATAGTGCTTGGATGGTTGAATTCCATGCAGGCTACTGTGGGTGTGTAACCCACATGGGGAGCGGTAGTGCAGTGGTTAGAGCCCTGCACCATGATTGCTGCTCACAGTCAATATGAGTGACGATTATCCAAGCCGGTCCTGGACCTCCCCTATGTCGACTCAGCTGGACGTGATGCTTGCCACCCCCACCCCTCGTGTGCCGTGTCGGCCTTTATAGGTGCTACTCACTAACAGCACTTGCTCATATTCTTGGTTCTTTCGGTAAAGTCACGTTGAAGGGAAATAATAAAATAATAAAATGAAACAAAATTCTCACGACGTTTCGATTGCAATCATCATCAGGTGTGAAAACCACACCTGATGATGATTGCTTGTGTTGCAATCGAAACGCCGTGATAATTTAATTGTGTTTTTTTATTATTTGATTATTTCCCTTCTACGTGACTTTACCGAAAGAACCAAGAATATTAATCCCTGCAGTCACGAAAGCTTTAAAACGAAATTTAGCACTTGCTCAGACAGTCTGGTGAAGGCTATGCGGGGGATCTTTGTCTTCATCTCGTAACCCACGTGTGCGTGTCTGGCGCGCGATGCTGCAGGGTACTCCAGGCCGGTCTGGAGGTGGAGCGCCTGCACCTGAGGAACTTCTACCACTACTTCCACTCGCGGCACGGCATGTGGAACCAGATGAAGGGCGCGCAGGATCGGGAGTGATGACCCGGTGTGACCCGGTGACGACCCGAAGTGACCTACAGTGACCCGGCATGACCCGCCGACTCCGAGCCCAACCCCTTTGCTCCGTTTCCACGACTCAGCATGTCACTTTTCTCCATCGTTTAGGAGCCTGCGGTTGGGAGTTTTATTTTGTTGCTTTTGGTGTTTCGTTATTTTCAATATCGTCCGCAGTTGGGTCGTGGGTGGGGACCCCGGGAAGGGTGGCGTGGGGCAGAGAGGAGACGTCCTGGAAGACCTGAAAAAAAAACACGCACGCAAGGGACAAAAGGAGAAATGTTTTAGATCCTATGTGTGGGCATTTCAAGGAATGCCAGCAAGCGGAGAGGGCTGACTTGTACGAAGTATATATTGTGGACGATTATTGCAAAAGGTATGAAGATGGATGGGGGCGGCTCTTCGTCAACCGTAGAGCGACATTCGAGCATCGTTTGCGGTTTGTTGCCATCACGTGCCGTAAAATAATGGGCGTGCGCCGAGCAAAGGGTAAACACTCCTTACTTTTACTACCTTCGCTGCAGCGATAACCTGGAACGGATTGATGAACGACGGCACTGCGCAGCACAGCACCAAAGGCAGTGCCGAGGAGACATCGTCAGCCGCGCGTACCTGATCGGAATCAAAGATATCTCGCCCGGATAGTTCTGGGTGAGCATTTTAAGAGCGAAAGAAGTGAACTGAAACGTGGAAGGCGAGGGCCGCCGAGCTCGTGAGTGTGGCACCCTGGCTCTTGGCACGTCCACTTTGTTGACATTTATTCAAACATTTTTTTTTAACGTTATCGTTTTGTTTTCCTTTAACCTATTGCCGTTTGGGGTGTCGTTCGGACGTGTCCGTTTACCCATGCTTTCTTGTGGGTCACATTGGCATGGTTTAATTTGTCTGCAAGCTCTTCCCCGGTTTTACTTCACTGTGGATTTGCATTCGCCATTCGTTCCCCGGTTGTGCGTTTTTGTTCTCGCGTGAAGGGTTATCAGCGGAGGCCCTGTCCTCCGCTTTGGGGCGACTCACGACGAGCCGTCCGTCCGGTGTAGCTCTATCAAGGCCGCCCATCGACGGCCAGCAGAGACGTGTGCTCTATCAAGGCCGCCCATCGACGGCCAGCAGAGACGTGTGCCCCCGTCGTGTGTGAATGTGAATTTTGTGACGCTAAGGATTCCCCCCCCCCCCCCAAACAGTCTGAAGTAGAGAGAAATTAGAAAAATTTGATGAATTACTGAATTGGGAAAAATTACGAAGCAAAATCCGCCCTTACCTAGTGGCAGACCGATGTCCGCTTGCGACGTTCACTTTGGCCGCACGAGGACAGCAGCCACAGGGGGAGTCCCCTTGGCCAAAATGCGGCAGAGCATCTCGAAATGCGCTGCATGGGAGGAAACGGTATGAATATTAAGTTGTTATGACGATGATGAAGAAGAACCCAGAGAAACAAGAGGTCAGGGGACATGACGAGTTCAAAGGGCACGGCTTAATATGGGGCCGCTTGCGGTGATGCCAACGCTTGGCCAGCCAGTGTTCGGTGGAGTCCCCGACCCGCGTTTCGCTTTGTCGTCCGTGACTATCGCACAGTGCTCGTAATGATTGGCGCACGGCAACTTGAACACTGAGCACACACAGGCACACACATGGCGAGAGCAGTCCTTCGAGGTCGTGTGTAGGGAATGCAGGGTGCGAGACGTGGGCGGTTATCGGCCAAGCGGGTAGGTGACGAGCTTGGAGTTGTTATATGTTGATGGTGCGCATGCGATGTTAACTACCTCGCCTGGTTTGCAGGAGGTCGTGGGTTCGATCCTGACCCTGATGCCTGTATATTTGGAGTTTGCGTGTCTAATCTCCCAGTGGTCACGTACATTTTTCTCCCGGTTTTTCCCTCCACATTTGAAATCAACGCACAGAGTATTTGGCTTCTATAATTTTCCACGTGATAAGCCACAATCGTTGTGCCACATCATATGTGATAGCCAGGTCCCTCCTGAAAAAGAGCGATACAGCTCAGTGGGGTCTTACCTAGTAAAATAAAACAGATGAGAATAGGTTTTCCCCTTTTTTCTGGCAACAAAACAGGTGTTGAGATGTTATAACACCAAACTGAAACCTTTTACAAAATAAAACATAGTTTTAAAAGTCCGTGGCCCATGTTCGACAGGAGGAGCACTAACAACTCCATTGCGGAATGACCACGGACTCTTGTATCACTGCTCGTGACTTTCTATTATAGATCGAGGGCATTGGAAATTCATAGCCAGGAAGCCTTGCATTTGGCGAAGGCTCTGCAGTCCGTTGTGTGAATGTCATCGGTCGTTCCCTAAGGTGGTGCAGGAGCTGCTTTGCCTCTATTCATTTGCGTAATAGGCGACGGGTAAAAATATTTTTAAAGATTGGGGTGGGGGCTGAATTAACCTTTGAAAGGAGTTCATCATTTCAGATTTTTTTTGGGTAAAAAAAAACGAGCGTCCAAATATTAGAGGGCACAAAATCGCCGATAGCAAAGAACGTGATCACGGGGTCACCGCTCGCCTCGGCCTACCACGCGCTCGCCTCGTAGAGATCCCGCGAACCTCGTTGTTGGACAATAATCGTCCAAACAAATTAAAATATTTTTCCTTAGTGATGAATATATATAAATATATAAATAATTTGCGAATTTTTATGTCCAAAAAAACAAAAAGAGAGCCCCGCGTTTGCCACTCGCAGGGCCACGTGATACAGACTGAAGCGTCCAAGGGCGCACGTGTTGACGTGCCGAGTCCGTGTGCTGTGTGGTTCTTCAAGTGCCGTGCGCGCGCTCCGAGACTCTGCGAGTCCGGCTTGGGGAGCTTTCGGCCGTGTAGACTGCGGGCTGCGAGCGAACGCGAGAGCCGGGTAACTCGTCTGAGGTGGCGAAGGAGAGTGGGTGGGGTGGGGGCGCTGAGCCCCCTTGAGCGGCACGTGTTCACGGTTTTCGCTTGGACCAAACTGGCGGGGCGGAGGAGGCTGCGCCGTCGTCTCGGCTGAGAGCCCCCAACGCTGGTGCCGCCCGCGTTCACAGCCGTAGCTGCCATTTCGCTTTCGTTCAACGGAGAGGATTTTTATATATATACGTATACTGTACAGACGTTTCTACGCGTTATATAACGATGCATCAATGCCAGGGCGCCATCTCTTAGGTCACCGAGGGGTTTTTGTAAAATGTGGTCGCGCTGCGTTTTTACTTGTTGGGTTCTGTTTTTTCTTGGCACACTTGACGGCATTTTATTTAAAAGTTATTTAACGTGCTTTTCTGCCCGTTTAAAAAAAAAAACTACTGAACTAGCTGGATTCTGTCGAGGAAATCCTTCACATTTTTAACTTATATCTTGAGTCGTTACCATTGCAAACACTGGATCTTTAAGGTATATTTGATCGATATTTTAGTTTTGCTATTACGTAATCACGCCTTATTCCCCCCCATACCAATTCCCGCCCGCTTTGGATTATCGAGTCGTGGTCCTCCTGCGCTCCGTGTCAGTCGCCACAATCGTCCCGATGTTTGTTTGCCCCCCCCCCCCTTCGGCCCGCTGCTCGAAGATGTCCACACGGTCCGGGTTTTGGCGTTCGGTTCGCGTAACGAGAAGTGGCTCATCGGCCAAAGCAGTGCGATGGGAAATCTCCGTTCCGCTGATTGACATCGACTCTTGGAAGTGAGCGGCGCCACGCGTGCTGCCGCCACCACCACTGCTGCACCAGGCAAGGTTCTTTGAGCCGTGACCCTGTGTGCACGTTGACCTTCTACCGCACACCGTGCGTAGCCAGACCATGTGGGAGGAAGGTAACGGCGGCATCACACTCTCTCCGCCTTGTTTGGGGGAGTTGGCACCTCGGCCATCGGCGGACAACGGCATTCTGGTTTTTTTTGCGCGACCTGGTTGCATTGCAATTGAATCGCTCATTTGCGGGACGCGTCTCCGTTGCCGGTTGCGAGCGGTTGGTGCAACCCGAGTTGCTGAGAGTAGAGGCAATACTCTCGAGCGACGGTATCGATCTGCTCGGCGATTGGTGGCGATGCGGCTTCGCCACGTGCACAACACGATCGTCACAGTCTAACACTTGGGAGGAGGCTTTCGCAACCAACATTATCCATGGTAGAGTCTGTTTTTAGCACAGATCGCGTAAATATAAATGTGTCATTAAACCCGCAACCACCCGACAGCCAATTAGTAAGGTTTGTCACGTAAACAAAACATGTAAACCCACAGCATTTACAATTCGAGTGGGTTCATTCTCCAACACACCGGTGTGCCGAACTAGTAACGAATTTGCATGTTTTGTTTACGTGACGGGTTTAACAACAACATTTGCAAGATGCAACTCTAAAAACCTCTGATGGACGATCGTTTGCAATGTCAACTTGGGGAGGGGGGGGTATCAGAAAAGGGGCGGGGGCTGTGCTGTAGAGGGCGTGGCCAGACATGCCCCTCGTGCGCAACTGCTCGCTCGGACGCGCAACGAAGCCACTTTTAAAACGTGGGGGCCTTCGCCACCAAATATTACCCGTGGGTTTGGAACATAGTCGTTTGCAAGGCCAAGGCGATCGCGTTTCGGCGGCTTGGGAGAGCGATTGTGGACCGCGTGGCCGATGGCTCGGGCTCTAAGAATACTGAAAACATTGCTACTGAAATGTCAACGTGCTGTCACGCTCTCGGAAGATGATCACAGCAATAGGTTAATTTTAACTTATAAAAAAGTTTTATTTATATGTATCGTAATGCTGTCGACTGCTGGATTTTTTTGAGTCATGTGTCCACTTGTGGCCCCACGTCACATGGTCAGCTGGTGAAATATTTTTTTGCGATCCCGAGATATTGTCACGAGCATTTACGTTGCGCGTGCTGCCTCTGTAAAAATGTTGAAAGTAATGGTTCAGGTTTTATTTGTTTTTTTAATATCTATCTATCTATCTCGAAACAACCCGGCAAAGTGAAGCAAAAACCTCCTCTTGAAACGAAGTAAACCGCACTGCGTGTGGAGCGCCACGAGAGTGTTTTCGCGACGCATTGTCTGCGTCTTCACTTTTGCTTAGTTCTGCACCTAACCCGTTACACTCGTCTATATTGTATTCATGATCGAGGTTTTTTTTGGGTTAGATGGTGTGAATATCAATGTATCGTTGAACGTATGTTATGTTTTTCATATTCAGCTCGGGTGTAATGTGTATATTTTTTACCGTTTTCTCTCCCGAATTTACTTGAACAGTTATTTTTATTTCCCCCCTCGTGGTTCCCAATAACCGGTGTGTGTGTGTGTGTGCGCGGGCGTGTTTGTGTGTGTGTGCGCGCGCGTGTGTGTGTGATTTCATTCGCTGCCGCTTAGCTGCCAATGTCTTGGGGACTCTTTCGTTTTGCACGTCCCGTGATCACGGCGGCTTTTGAGGAGGGGTCGACGGAACGCCCGGGGATTGCGTCGTTCAACAAGCGCTGCTCCCCACCTCCAGCGGAACGAGCTGGTGGCCGTAGGAAGGCAGGACAGCAAGTCGGTTTGATAGGCCGTCTGCTGTGTGGAGATTCGAGCGTTCTCCCCTCCTCATCTCTAAGCTTTCTCTGGTGTATCCCGGATGCCTCTACGTGAAAGGATGTACCCGATTAGCAATTTGACATTCAACTGAAGCAAATTAGTTGGTGATGCGGCATTGGCAGGAGCGCACGAACAACAAAAGCAAACTAAACACATTTGTCAACAGTAATAACATTGCCTTTCAGAGAAAAAAAGTATGTTATAATAGACGACGTTTCTGTGCAACGGCCCTTCACAGCACCTGGAGAGGCCAGAGAGGCAGAGGTCAAACTTTTCAGAAGTTTATTTCAAAAGTAAAGCCCATTGAGCTATGAAAGCTCCGTTTAAAGGGCGACACGGCTGGCAGATGATGACAGCAGTAGCAGCAAAGCGTTAAAGTGCCTCCATGTGCTGTGAAGGAGGACCATTACCCGAAACGTCATCTATTTGTTTTCCTTTTCTATTGCAAGGCGACAGTGTTATTGACGAATGTGTTGAGTTTATATATTTAAATATAAAGCAGGACCTTGCTGATAACAAGCCTCGAAGACTTGACGGAGCACTGCTGCGCCAAGGAAATAATAATAATCACGATAATAATGGGTGAAACACTTGTGGGGTGCAATGTAGGAAGCCTAACAGGTTGCCATAAAGCTTCTGGGGCTGTGGTGGGTAGCAGAAGGCAGTGCTGCAGTGGAATCCATTGTTGTACTGTACTTTGAGCGCTTCACGTCTATGCTCCCCACCTTCACGTGGTGCAGTTTGGTTAAAAAAATCCCCCCCCCACGACCCCATATATATGCATGTTGAACTTATTTCACACCGTATGTAGCCAGCCGTGCTAATTGGAGGTGCGGGGGAAGGACAACAAACTAAACACAAAAAGCAGTTCTAAATAAATGAATTTTCAATCTAGATAATGATTTCAAAGTGCATAGCTCCAGTGGCTTCCTAATATCGGAAAGGAAGAACGTTCCAGACGGCCACAGAAGCGCATCTGAAAGCGCCACGCGATGCGGCAGTAACCGTCTTTGTCCGATGGCACGAGAAGGCCCTCGTCGGGGCCTTGAGTTGACAACAAATGGCCGTACAAGCGTCGAGTCCCGTCATGAGGACGGCGTTCCACGCCCCACGTGGAACCCAGAACGGACGCGAAGGCGAACGCCACGCGTCGGGATCCGTCCAGGCGGTGGGGGGGGGACCTCTCCCGTCCTCCCGACCCCACCTTTTCCCCTCTGGCCAGACCCCCTGGACGCAATTACAAATTATTCTTGCAAGCGGCGTTGCTAGGTGTAAATTCCAAATCGTTGAAATGACAAGGATTGCGGTTCATTTAGCAGTTACGCAGTCACAGTTGTAA